GATATTTGGTATGTATATGCAATAGAGGTTAAAGAAGAGTTTATTAAATTAAGAAGGGTGAAAGAAGAGACAGAGAGCAGAGATATCATCCATGGCGATGCTTCTTCTCTTCCTACGCCAAAGCACCATGGCTCTCTCCACCAATTTCTTTGCGCTCTTTCTTCTCTCTTTCACTCCTCTTACTATCTCCACTGCTTCATCATTCGACATCACATCCCACATCTACATACATACTCATATATAAGTTATGTGTGTATTTATGAATCTTGATTTTGATTTTACATGTGAATAGATTGTGATATATTACCCCATCGGTGGCCAAGATGAGAAACTGGTCCTTGTCGGTTATCTTTCGGTATGTCACTTCAGGTACAGAGACCAAACCGAAGTCTTTAAGGCAGTAATCTCCGAATGCTCTTGAGACAGCTAAACCGAGCGTTCCTCCATTCGGCATACCAACCCGGTACACTCCCGGTTCATCGTCTAGGCAGAACAATCGTCCATCTGATTGTTTTATCCGTTCTGCCTCCTCTGTTTAACCAAGAATTATATCACATACCGATTGTTAGTTCATATTTTATCGAATCTTTTTCATATGAATAATTAAATAAAGGGATTTGAGAGGTATACCGGGAATGCTCGGTTTGAAGTCTACCGAGAGCTGAACCGGCACTAAACCGTTTCCATCATCAGAAGTTGTTGCTAGTACTGCTCGTGAGTCACCCGCGTTTGCTACAACAAGATGATCACCCTTCAAAAACCAAAAAACATTAAATTACTTAGCATCTTTTTAGATATAAATGTCAAATAATCGACAATTTTTTTTTAATATGAGATGTTAATATATATATGTTATGCTTTGTAATGAATAAATATGTATGGTTGCAAGAACATATGTATGTACCTGCAAGACGGCGGTGAGAGCGGTGCACCCGCTGCAATAAGAATCAATGGAAGGATGGATCTTGAGATCAAGATCGATGAGGGAGTATGTTTTCAGGCAAGCTTGCTTCCATAGATCAGACGGAGAGAAACATTCCGGCGACGATGATAAGGATGCAAGAGTTTGTTGCCATTGGCAAAGGAGAGCAGATGGGAATGACTTCTTTACTCTTTTGGCTATCACATGTCCCCATGGTCCATGTCCATCGAACATCCCACAGAATGTTATGTCTTCTTGGCACCCAAATCCCTATATTATTTGTATATAAATTCACATAATTAGTTTTAATAATTTTATTAACTAGATCATGATGCCACTCAAAACATGTATATTTTTGCCACTAATATATAGACATATTCATGGAAGGAAAAATTACCTAACATATAGTATTTATATAAAGTGTACCTCCCAAACAATGGCACGATCTTGGTTAATTCCTTTCTCACCTCTATTAGAACAAATAGAGGTAAATCTCTTTGAATTTTCGGAGTTAACAAATCCCGAAGTACCAAGCAAGGTTGAGTTCTTCTTTGAATCTTTCACCATCGATTTTGCGATCTCTCTCCCTCCATTTTCATCTTCCGATGTGTTTTTACTTTTCTTTGTCGACACACTTCTCGCCAACCCGTCCAAAAATGAAGGCAAAAGCACCATTTCTCTAATGCTCTTATATATAATATGATCCTACAAAATATACATGAACTTTATTTATAAGTTACAATTGTTCCGAATACTAATAAGTATCGAGATAGTTTAGGTATATATTAACACATGAATCTTGCATCTTTCTCAAGATGAGCAAGAACAAAAAAGAAGGAGACATAAAAAAGAAGAGAAAAATAGAAATCAGAGGATCAGGAAATTATTACCCTTTCTCCTTTGAATATTCTTGATCGGAGTTTCTCTGTTGAATATTTCTCCTTTTGATGGATTCACTACTTATAAGCTGCTGAATTGTCTCTATGACTCATCATCTTTTTCTTTCTCTCCTTTCCACTAGTCTAAACCTTTTATTTTATACATATACATATACACGTACAAATACATATACATTCTTTTTGCATGTAGACAAGGACACGTATGTGTTATGAATAAAGTTGACGGCATTTAGTTTTTAAAATATAGTTGAAGGTTATAAGTTATAACAAATGGCTATATATTTTTAGTTTTAGAAAAGGTTTATGTATAACGTATTTTCCATTGATAAACTAAGATGTAACATAAAACTTGAATATCTATAAATAAGTAAAAGAGTATAGAAACAGTAACAGACCACTTCGACATAAAAATTAGCATATACATAGAAGGCTAAAACTCGAGCGTCTCTGTTTATATGTCAAATATGTAAACTATAAAAGAGTTGTAAATATACGTTATATTTCTAGACTAACAAATGGTATGTGCATGTATGTATCTATAACATTAAACATATGCTTATTTATTAGTGTCAAAGGGTGTATTTTTAGACTTAGCGATGGTGTATACAACATGCATGTGTGTCTGTCAGTGTGTGTGTACAGGCTAATGCATTTGTTGGAAAAAAGATGGCTATGGAAGTGTTTGGCGAGTGAAAATGTCATTTCAACGCAATCATCAAACGCAAGAAAATGGAACTTTATTATTTTGGTTGTCAAATAGACAATAGTAACTCCAAAAAAAGCGTTACAACAACCACAGTGAATAACCAATCAAAGACTCTTTTTATGTTTTCACGATAAATAATCAAGTTTAAGACCGACAAAGGCATAAACTATAGCTGGTTAATACCTCATTATGATAGAGATGCATACACTAAATAATACAAAAATGTTTAGATTGAATGTGGATGTGGAAGAAAATCAATAAACTAATGGATGTGGTGGAAATATAAAACGATATCATGTGGGGTTTGTTAAACAATAAGCACTTGTCGTAAAAAGTTGTGGCTGTGAGAGGCTCCCGAATCTAAAAGCTAATGGTAAGTGCCTTTGATCCGAAACAACTCTTATCTTTAAAGTTATTATTTTATTACACCGTTTCTTCTTATTTCGAACTGATTCTTTTACACCTTAGTCAGATGATACGTTCCTATCACCTGAAAATGTATTACCACAAAAAACGACATACAATTGTTTTTTTTTTTTTTGGTTTTAAACAACATACTGTTGTTATGATATACTTTCTCCGTTTTAAATTAGTTGTCGTTTTGGAAAAATGTATTTGCAATTATTTGGATGAATTTGGATGTATTTTGAATTTAATACATCCAAAAAATTGCAAATACATTTTCTCAAAACGACAAGTAATTTAAAACGGAGGAAGTATAATATATATATATATATATATGTACATCAGTACATACATAGACAAATACAATAATTTTCAAGATAAAATATGGAGACGTTGAATATTAGCATAGCTCTTCGTCAAAAGAAATATTTTCTATACAACCAAGTTTTCATGCTGCAATGGCCTTTAGCTTTAAAAATTAGAAAAAAATTACTATAAGCAAGTTATGCATAATAGTAAGATTATTGCAAACATTTTTGTAAGAAAAGAGTATATTTTCCTTTACTCAAATGAAATGGAGAATTTGTTCCAATACATATATATGCAATAAAGACATGCGTTCCCATCAAACTGCTACGTAGTTACGCGTGTATATGGGGCTTTAAATCATCTTTTACTTTTCTTTTCCTTGAAAGTTATTAATCAACTTTATACATGTATATATATATGATCTGTGCCTAAATGTATAGATGTGCCTAGCTAGTGCATATGTTAGATTTTATAAAGGTCCACTTGGCTAGATTTCTTAGGTAATCCATAGATATCAGCACTTACGACTTTAAATTTAAATTTAGTCCTGAATAATTATTGAGAGTGCGGACTTAATTAGGTGGGTTGGTAATAATATTGTAGTGAAAGAAAATTATAAATAGGGAAAGAGATAATATAGATTATTTTGCACTATGGAATATGCTAAATGCATGGTCATAATGTAGCAAACATTCTTTTTTGTTGCTAATAAACAATGTAGCAAACTACCAAACCAAATCTAATTCTTATTCGATTAATTCCGTTTTGTTTCCAATGCGGATTTGAATTCGGATGATAACATAACATTTCTTGATCATTTCACCAAAGTTATTGATTTAAATAACTAGCAAACTAACAAACCAAATCTAGATTAGTCCACATACAATTATAATCCACACAAACGATCACCAAATCCTCCACATGGTATTTTATTACTTTTCATCATTGAATTTTCTTCTTTTGTAAGTTAGAGACGTGACACACCAAATAGAAACAAACAGTGGGAACAATATATAACACAACAAGGAGATGCAAGTGGCAAAGATGGAGTCGTTTGATTCAGAGGCAAGCAACAAAAGACACAAACTCAATGCCACATGGCCCCTCGTGGATCTCGACCCCGACATTATATTATTCAGTCTTCTTTTGCATAATTACAAAGCATATATGAATATATATGTGGGTGACAAATTTTAGGCCAGGTATATCATAGTATTACTATATTTAACTTAATAAAAAAAAAACGTTCTTTTTTGTTCTTTCTTACCTCAGAAGAGAGCAAAAATGGCTTCTCTTCTGAGTTTCCCGCCTGTTTCCAACATCATATCCCTATACAGACATCTTTACTTCTTTCCCATAAACATATATGAGATTGAAATGGTTAAAGATAGTTTTTTTTTCTTTTGTTCGTGTAGAGATGAATCAGCGATCAAGAATAAAGGGTATGAATGGTCTCAATGGAAGACTTGAGAGGAGGCGTAGTATTCACTCTCGTTGAAGACAGGTCTAAGATCTTCTTTGCACATGAAATCTAAAGGGAAAGAGACGAGATGTCCCCTTACCGACTTTAGTCTGTCCATAGGATCGCTTCTCTTGATGTCTCCATTGTGGTAAGACTCCAGCTTCTCTGGTGCTATTCCCAAGTCGATCGTTGTGTGTCCCAGTTTCTCCTTCCAATACGCTAGGCTTTGTCTGAACGCCATTCTGCAAATTATATCCAAGTGATATATATCATCATCATCCAAAATCTTTTGGCTTGGCCAAAACTGGAAAAAGAAAAGCTAAACCGGAATTGTACCTTGAGTGGATGAGATCATTGGGCACGCAAGAGAAGACATCCTGATATATCATTGTGTTTGTCTGTATTGGGATATATAAAGATCAACGGGTTATATCTTGGCTGTGAAATTAAAAAAAAAAGGCTCAATATGTGATCGTGTGTCTAACCTTTGCGGTTGCCATCCATATCTCCCTGTAGGTTGAATCAGAGACTGGATCGATTATCTGATCAATCTGTAAACAAATAACCAAAGATCAAAAATTTGAAAGAAAAATAAAAAATGGCGCGGGAAGCATTTATAGACCCTCTTCAACATACTGGGGAGGTTTAGATCATCTTTCATCATAAGGTAGGTGCAAGATAAGTTTCTAAGAATAGTTTCCATGGCTTTTCAAGTTTAAAATATATACTGAAATCTCTTAGCTTCGTTGATACTACTTAGTTTAAAGATCAATGATCATCATACCACACAGAGAAGCAATTTAAGGATATGGTATAAACCTCTCCACTACGAAGTCCCAGGTGTTCAGACCACAGAGAGAGCCTAAGGCTTAAAGCAAACTTTCCAGCCTTCCATGGTTTTCCTGCCATGCGCGAATCTACCAACTCTTTGTCTTCGATTAGTACTCCAATCTGATATAAAGCATACAAGCATGTTAGGCTTCTTAATGTTCAGCATATACACAGTTAATAAGAAAATCATATTCAGCATACTTTGAATTAATAGTATAAACCACCAGTATAACATGTTGAGGCACCAATACTTAACAAAAAAAACCGTTTTCACATGAACTACTTTCGTTCTTCTAGCTTTCCTACTCTTTTTTTCTAACATAATCGCCAAATATACAATAGGCTTGAAATCGATGCATAACACACAAAAAGACGTGAGTGTAAGATATGACCTCAGAATCCCTTGAGCCAAGCAAACTCCTGTCGTTGATATTGGCAGATCCAACCAATGCTGCACGGTCATCAACTATCATGATTTTACTGTGAACATACACCTGCATGAAGAGAAAGATATAGCATTCACATTTTCAGTACGCTACTTTTAAACAGCTGACATCCTACGTAGGGTGCTGTGATCACTAAAAAGGTAACAATTCGTAAATCTAGCCCATGGATGATCAAGATGTTACCTGACTAGTGGCGACAGGTCCATCTTCAGAAAGTTTACCATACGCCCTAAGGCCGTAGAAGGATATATACTCATGAGCCTTCGGACCAATAGTATTGTAAAGATTTTTCAATATTGAATTCTGTCCTCTGTACATGGTTCGATACTGCCAATGCATTATGGCTCTTACAGATGCTGCACCGCTGTCGTCAATACCTCCCTGCCAGGCACATAACTCAGTTAAAGGCATACCAGGGATTGGTTCTTTTGAAAAGGAATACTGTGTTCTAAACGAAAAACTAACCTGGAACCCTGGGAGGAGAGGTATAACAACAACAACCCTGAAACTTTTCTTCTCGTTATGGGCACGCAAAATCCTCTTGTACAACGCTTCTAAGACACGGTTCTTTATTGTGTCATCTCCAGAAAGACCTGATATGAAAAACTGGTTCTGTGGATACATTGCACAACATGCAAACAGAGTCAGAAAAATGGAAGACATTTGAACATATGGCCACCACTAGGTTTCAAGAACGAAACTCCTTGTATTATGTGAAATAGGATGCATAAATAATTTGCAAGGTGGATTTGGGCAAGAGCAAGAGAAAACAGGACTATTACTTAAAGCTACATAACTTTGTCCAGGTTAATCATTGGTTGACCAAAGAAAGCTGCAGGATCTCCAGAAAATATCCTAAGGCTAAGAATGAATTATAGTGGTGCATAATCAAAAGCAGGAGAGACATAAAAATGCCTATTATTTGACGGACTAGCTCAAATTACCAGCACAACAGAACTTTACAAGTTTCTCTCAGTTCGGAAAAGGATGGCAGGTCGTTTCAACGAAACTCTATATGATGCTATCAAATTTTAATTCTATGAAGAAAATATTATTATGGAAAATACCTCAATGTAGATGAAATGTTCAGCTTTATCAATGAGAGAACGGTAAGCAGAATGGATACTCTCTTCAACTTGACATGTTCCAGCAGACCATTGACTGACACTTCGTATAATCTGAAAATAGGTTTAATCAGTGCTAAATGTTGAAGGGAAATTCTGATTTTTCTGATCACGAGAAAATTTCAAAGCTAACATATTACTGGTATATATCAACTTCCAGAACACCCACCTGACAGCGGCATGAAGTTCTCGGACCGACTTGCCCAGTCTCCTCTGGTGACCCTGCCTGATAACCATGTTCTGGTGTCTCCCACCACTCTGAATCTATTTCACTAGAAGAACGACGCTTTGCTACTGGAAGATCTAGCACATTACGATCATCTACGAAACCCCTCATAGGAGTATCTCCATCAACTGGTTCAATTTTGGATTTCCGGAAAGAGAAAGGACCATTTCTATTGTTTACCCCATTGGCTTTATGATCCCCACTCGAACCATCTTCATCAACAGGCTCGTGAGGCAGAAGTAATGGAATGTCCTGCAAAGATGATCTAGATGAAAATGAGTCGTCTCTTCTAATCCCATTAATGCTGTTTTCGTCATTCTTGCATTCAGTGTCTGACTCCTCTTGCCTCCCCATGTAGTGGGGTATAACCATGTGATGTTGGGGCATAAGAAGCGGAATTGAATCTTCATATGGTGCTTTGTTTCTCTGAAATAACCATTGATTATCTTATGGTAATAACAGAAAAACGAAACAGACAGAAGAAAGTTCATGAAGAAAGGATAAACCTTAGCATAGTTCCAGCGTTGAACAAAGTGCCTAGCCACGTCGCGGCAAGGTGGACCCCATAAAGCACAATGCACATCATGCCAAGGCATCCGTGGATACTTTTTACGGTCTAACTCATCTTTCAGAGCATCCTCCCAAGTGTTGGGTTCAGATTCTCTGCAGAAAGTAATTGCGTTCAAACAAAAAGAAAAAATCAGAGGGTAGAATTCAGATAGGTGAAATCTCTAATGCCAATCCTGGTTTGTAATGAATATCCAAAATCTGATTGGTGGAATTCCACCCAACATCACAGCTAAATTACTTGCAAGTGAGAGACAATTTCTTTTTATCATAAAAAGTCAACTTGTTAAACTGAAAAGAGATTTAAAAATCAACTCTTTATAGGCAATACTACTGTTAATAGTCGTCGTAAAAGGGAATTTTTACCTAGGGTTGTAATAGTCCTTTCCAGGCCACGTTACAGAAGGGTTATCTCCTACTTTATGTTCAAAAGTGTCGTACCGGCCAAAACACAAGTCCAGCCCTCCAAGAAAGCATACCTGGTGATCAACGATGACGAGTTTTTCATGGTGAGACCTACAAAGACATGCAGAAGTAGAAGAAGTTAAGTCCTTCCTGTTTATTTTTGTGGTCAGATATGAGAGGTACAGTTATCTACTACCAAACCCAGAAAGATAAACAAGAAAGAAAAAATATTGGAGCTGTCCACTATATCATACCAGAGATAGACACCACTAGAGAAGTGGTCAGGATAACGAAGTACCCTAACATTCTCATGAATGCTAAGAAGCCTGCGTTTGCTATATACACTGTTGATCTTTAAAGCAAGAGCAACCTCCTTGTAGAGAAGGATGTATATCTGAAGAAAGATAGTGATAAACAAATGAAAAATTGAAAATCCACACACTGCATAGATTCTACATTTATGTCTGTCGTAAGTACCTGAACTCCTTGCTTAGCTTTGCTCTCCAACAAGTTATCAAGTCTGTCAGAAGTATGGGACTCAAAAGGACGCTTAAGATAGAGTTCTGGGCACACCCACCAGCCACATATGAAAATCTACAAGACAAATCAGATCAGTATAAACTATAAAGAATTTTAACTCAGCGTCTCCACACCCTACAGCGGTAAGTGACAGACCTCAGACTTAGCATTTTCAATGGCTGCAGCCATTGCTGAAAAAGCTGCTCCTCCATCTACGAACCACTGGGCCTGACTTCCATCATCTGTCAAACCCCTAGGGGGAGCAAATGAGCCAAAGCGATGAGGATGGCACCAACCCTCAGGAGGTCTAAGAGCAGCATCGTTAATAGAAGCCACCCAATCTTTAACTTTTGCACTACTTTTCGCCCTTATTCTTATACTCCGGTTTCCAGATGTTACCTGGAATTTTTTCAGCAAAAGTATTAAAGCAATGATTCTCCATATCTTTGTTAACATCTAAAACCATGAAACAAAATTGAAGGAAAAAAGGGGCAAGAAACTAAAGATGCTTCAACTTTGAAACTTAAGAAAAAAGAATTCTTAGAATCCCACTTTAATTGATGACAAAACGATTGGCATAAACACTTTGAAAATCTACAGCAGACACCTTGGATTACTTTAATTTCTATTTAGAAGCATTAAAGTACAACATCAAAAGTTATCAAACAAGGGGTGTGACAAAAACGATTATCAAGAAAGCTTATTAGAAGGACATCTACATATATAATTAAAAGATATGTAGGGCAGTAACTGCTAACCTTGAATGCATGTCGCAAAGGATTATGATCCTTCAGTTCTACTGCTAGTGATACATCCGCGCCATTATTTCCGTTAGAAACCGGTAGGACATCAAAAACAATTATATCCAATAGCTTTGCATCAAACGGATCTTCCAATAAGGCGAGAAAACCTGGCTTTAGTACCCCCCACACCTGTACTGGAGAAAAAAAGAACCTTAGATACGATCTTCTCATGTCACATTCATTATGAGTGCCTAATCAGGAGCAAACAAAATGAATTGTAATATTTGATAGCACATACATCACGACCTTAAGGATCTACAGCAGAGTTAGAAAATCGATTTACTTCTTCAAACTTAATATCTCACCACCGTGATTAAACAATTTTGATTCTCAACACCTCTCCAATGGGAGTAGTGATAGTGACAAATTTTGGCATTAGAGAAAGAACTACCAAAGGTGAAATATACTTCCTACTGATTTATTAGCTTTTTATGGCATTCAACGCACTGAGAGACGAAGCAAGAGTGGAATAAGGGACAAGGATAACCACAGAACACATAACAAAGCTCACAAGTCATCCCATAGGAAATTCCAGAGGTAACAAACTACACGAATATGAGCAAGAAAATATATAAAAAAATTCATACCTTTTGCCAATTATCATTGCAGCAACAGAACCAACAGCATCCACAGCATCTATTCGAATCATCACTCTTTGAAATCTGTGGTAGATGTTTTACCATAATAAAGTCTTCTTTCAATTTGGGCCCATACTCTGGTGAAAATGACAGCATTGAGACCTCCAAAAACCTGCAAACCTATATTAGGCATTTAGCACTTAACTATGAATGCATATAGCCTCAGTAATGGAATAAAGCTTAAATAGAAGCTTGAAATGCATGGAAACCTTCAGTATGATGTACTCAGATTTCTAGCTAGAGTAGAAAAGAAACAATCCTTGACATAACTAAATATTGCCTATGATAAAGTAGCTGGACAACCCAGAGTAACAGATTTTTAAAATATACCTCCCGTGAATTGACAATATCAAGATTCCCTAGAAAATGATTAAGATATTCTTGCATTGCATGCTTTCCTCTGACTGATATGGACTGCTGTCTTCCCAGAGGGCGAATGACTGGCAAAGCAGCACTCGAAGGAACATCTCTGCAAAAAAGAGCCTACTTTTCAGAAAATAATGACATCCATTGGAAGATTACAACAGACGCACGTCAGAAACTTCTCCAGCCAAAATTCACGCCAGGAATTCTCACCTATTTTTGGCACTCTCATCTTGATGTATCGGAACTTCATCGGCATCTTCATCTTGTACAACGGGTGCATGATCCCCTATTCCTAGATTTTGAAGCCATTCTTTAACCTTTAATGTTATATTCCAAAGAAAACAATATCAAAACTCGATGCAGCATCAAGCAGGCGACAAAAAATGAGAGAAACAGCCTAAGGCAAAGCATATAGTATGTGCCCTCAAAGAAAACACAAACTAGTAGATAAATTCTTGATGTTTCAAGTTTCAACACAAACCTGTTCCTGCTTCTCGTGAATTTCTTCAATAAAAGCACGTTTCTTCAATGCAAAATGCAAATAAAATACTTGAGATGCTTTCTTCACAAGTTGCCACTTGAACTGTTACATAAAAGCGCTGAAGTTAGGACTCAAGTATTCAAAACTCGATAGCTCCACTGAAATAAGCACCATTTCCACTACGGTAAGGAGAAACACAAATATACTGATTAAAGGATCTCCATTTCTGGTCCTCCATGGTTATATGGCAGCCATATAGCATTGATCAATGGTGATGATACAAAAAAAGCATCTCTTTAAATGTCGTATTATGACTATATGAACCCCACAAAAAAACAAGGTATCCAACGAATATAGTTGCTACTTCGATCAATAGTCATACTTGAAAGATTTAGAAGTGCATGAAATTGCTTGTATCACTAGAAATGAACAACAAAAAAAATCTGATTCGAAGAGGTCTCGTCCTGTAACCGTGAAATTTAAATACACAGTTGAAATCAAATTCTCATCATACAACTCGGAACCTAAGCTCTTCTACGGAAGAGAGAAGATAGAAAAAAAAAAGATGATACAGAGAAGGACTCGCCTGCTTGTATTGGCACTCAATGGTGTAAGACAAGAGAACGGGACTGATATCGCCGGCATCAGGCCTGGAGACGGAGACGATAACAGCCTTGGGTAATTCTTCAAAAATACGATTAGACTCCTGCGTCGGAGCCGGCGCGAAGGAGAAAAGCGACGACACCATCGAAGGAAATTGCTCCGGCTGCATCTGAAAGTAGCGTCCTCCGCCACTGGCGGGAGACATCAACTGCTCAGATGCCATCCTCTGATCGAATTACCCCTGAATTTCAAGATCTAGCTATGCAATTTCTACAGTCGTGTGTGAATGTGATCCTTTCGTCCTTTCGGTTGCTTATACCCCGGGGATTCCGATGAGAGACGATCAATCTGAACACCGGATCGTTCGACGATCAATCTGAGCACCAAATCGTTCGACGATCCAGAGCGAAACAGATAAATCTGAGGGAAAATTTAAAAGTCGGAGAGAGAGAGAGAGAGAGAGACACGGGGACGGGGTTGGTTTTGTTTTACAGGTACACGCGAAGGAAAGCAAAGTGAAGATGAACTACGTCGACTTTGACCTCAATTTATCTTTTCCTAATTTGCGCGGTTAGTCCCATACCGGTTCCAAAATTCTCTCTTTTCTGTAATTGTTTATCTCTTGCCACAACTAACATTTATAAAAATTTGAGCTAAATCAGTTTTATTAAGAAAGCTTTGATACAAAGTTCAAACTTCCCAAAGAATGAAGAAGAAATAATATATTTTTAACCAACAAACTGACCACTTAATTCCTAAAAATAATTAATAACTGCAGATTTGATTTTGATTTTAAATTCTGTACTAGAATTAAACTGATCAAAATTGTGTTACATTCGTGATTTGACACATGGTTGAATTTCATGAACTGTATGGTCCCGGAAATAATTCATAACATTTATGTTGTTTTTTTTTGGTCAAGAAACATTTATGTTGATATTTGGATACATCTACTAACTTTAAATTCTAGTTAAGTACTATAATAAAAGACGAACGAAAACAATAGAGAAACAAAACTGATGAACTAGCAATGTGAAAGGTTTTTCAAGGAAAGAATATCCGACAAAAGTCATTAGGATAAAGAAAAAACTTCTTCTACAGGTAAACTCAAGATTCAATTCACAACCAAATCACTTTTGTAGTTAGTGAAAAGCTATATCAACAGGCAAAAACGATCTTAAAGTGTTCATAATCAATATTTTAAGAAGAGCAAATGATCAATGCAACACACACACAAAAACATAACAATGTATTGGGTTACTGTAACGTTTTCTCTGTTTTATTATGTTATACATGCTCATGCCTTTTAACAGGAAATAGTAGAAATGAAAGGCATCATTGGAAACTACAGGATATGATGCTCCACTGATGTTCCTGGTGAGTAGAAGAAAGAAACTACACAACTTCTTTTTCGAAGTTTAAATTGCCTTATTTGGATGCTCTCAGTAGTCAGCATTGCCCAACTTTTTTTAAAGTTTCAGCACAATGCATTCATTAATATGTAAAAGGCGAGAATGTCAAGAGACATAAAACTGACGAATTCATTAAATATCAGTGTCAGATCCATAACACGAGAAATATTTTTTAAGAAAAAAAATCTTCCCGACAAAATGATTAAGCTAAGAGAAAAAATCTTCTTCTGTAGTTAAAACTCAAGATCCAACGGCAAAAATTGAACAACCAGATCACTCGGCTCACTTCTTCGCCTTCTTGGTTACCCTGAGTAGAAAACAAAAAATCAAGTCAAGAGCATGAGTCAGTGAAAAAGCTTTATCCACAAGCAACAAGGATCTAAAGTGTAGCAAAAGACCATTTGATATGTACAGAAATTACAGCTACATGAGACACGAGTAAAAATATTAAAATTTCTAGCTATCTCCACCTACTTCTCTACTTCATTCACTAGGAAACGGACAGAGGACAGGTTTCTTACTCTGCTTATTGAGATGCTGTTGCTGCGACAGGTGCTGTCTCTCCACCTCCAGGTCCCTATAAATCCCAAAAACACAAAAGCAACCAAAAGCATTAGACAAGTGTATAGATAATAACGAATAACTGTCCAAAAACATAAAAACTTCACATGACTGAGACATAATCAGCTTGTAAACATTTACCTGAGCTAAACGTTCCTCTCTTCTAGCAATCTTCCTCTCCCTGCTAGCCTTGTTCTTAGCACGCTTGGCCTCAAACTGGTCAGAGAGTGTCTTCTCTCTCGCCTTCTCGGACTTCAACTTGTGGATGCTCTCCATCAGCACACGCTTGTTCTTGAACACGTTACCCTTCACTTTCAAGTACATGTCGTGGTACATGTGCTTGTCGATCTTCTTCGCCTCACGGGACTTAGTGAGGTAACGCCTCAACACCCTCATTCTTCTCATCCAGAGAGTCTTCGTTGGTAGCCTTGCCTCTCTTGTACCCTTTCTCTTACCTTGAAAACCAAGAAAAAGACTTACAAAAGTCAATATACACATCAAACCAGAGAAATAAACTGAAGAGACGAAGGATATTCCATTTAGGTCTTTACCATAGCCAGAGTGACGACCCTTTCGCTTGGCCTCGTTCAAGGCTTTTGCACGAGCACGTGAGTGGATCTTGGAAGGTTTCCTGATGATGAAACCATCCGTCACAAGCTTCCTAATGTTCTGCCCTGTTACAGATAATCAATTACATTAGGAATAGTATTCACACCACTCTTGATCAACATGTCTAAGCAGAGAAAGCTATCAGAAAAAAACAAATTTCTTCACTGGCATAACAATTTAAAGAAGCTGAAGGCAGAAACTTTATACAAAATAAGCCTCGACACTAGCAAATGCATTCAAATATGTAGATTATCAGCAATCAATCTAACGGGATCATCATCATCATACTTTACTTTGTCACTGTACATTGTTAGGAACTAAATTGCAATCTCACTTGATGAATTAGCCTAAGTTACATTCTAATCAACAACACCACGTACTGTAAAGTGTAAACACACGATCAGTAAACCAAAGAAGCTTCGGAAATCGAAATCTTACTGGAATTGGCCATAGAGATGTCGGCAGACTCATTGGGGTCCATCCAGACTTTTCCCTTGCCGCATTTCATTACGGATGCGGCGAGCCGCTTCTGAGCCTTCAGAGACACCATGGCTTCCTCCGCTCCGTCTCCGTCAAGGGTTTTTGATTAGGGCACAAATAGTCGACTTCTTCTTATATAAAACGGACAATATATCAATTCTTTAAGGGTTTTGGGTCAGATGACGAAAATGTGTGTTTACGTCGTGGGTGATTAGGCTCATTCTTCTTTTATTAGGCTTATTTTCGGCCCATTAAATGTTTAATTTATGAAAACGAAATGCAGATTGATTTTTTTTCCCATCAACAACGTAACAAGCATTTTATCTTCAAATAGAAAAGGGCCAAAAGGCATATAATTCACTGATTTTGTTGTATTTTTAATCCTTCAACTAGATTAGTACCCGCGCTAACGCCGCGGGATTTGTGTTGAACATGATCTCTTTGCTTAAGCAAAACCTAGTTGATCCTAACATTAGATCATATACCTCTTATCCCCTTCTTCGAAAGTAGAGTTTTCATCTTCTATTAGCATCGGCTTTTCCTCTCTGCTTCATTAGTAGGGTCCGCATTTCTTGTAGCAGCAGAAGAAACAGTCTCTTGTGACTCTTCCTCTCTGCTTGATTTTGTGGTATGTGAAATGCTTTTTTATGTTGTCAAGTGACCCTCGCGATGCTGCATGAGTTATCTACTCGCGTGAGACCTTTTATCACAACACTCCAAAAAATAAAACATTGCATATGCTCTAGTTAAGCTATTGTTTTTCATCTAGACTTTTGAAAAGATCTTAAACATTTAAACATTTAGATCAAAAACTGGATTCAAGATCATTTTCACTTACAACATCAGTGTTACTAACATGACCGTTACACGATGCACCAGAGATAATCAGAAGAGGTATCGCCGATAATACCTCCTTCCTCACCAAGAATAAGATGATCACTGAAATTCTTTTATACTACTTCCAAAATAGCAGCCTCACTTGCTTTATCCTGTACTACAAAATTCAGCAGATACAAACACTTTAATGCTTAACGCTGTCAAATCAACATGAAGATACAGTAGATAAAACTTCAATCAACAAAGCTTGTTATGTGAAGTCCTTACTCAATTACGAAGTCAGTGAGGCCTTTATAAGTGATATACCTTGGCTTATTCACAGCTTCCATGAGGACCTACCAAACCAAATCATCCAAAACCATAAAAAGGTGAAATTGATTAATTCAAGTTTGGTTTTTTATTCTTCTCTGTAAACCAAGAACTCGATTCTAGTAAAATTGTGTTGAAACTTTTTGTGTAAATTAATCCTCAATTGAACAAAATTTCTAATAGTGTACTGTAAAGGCATTGAAATTCGAACCTCGACGCCGGTTTTAGCTGCGGCTTCGACGACTTGAAGGAGCTCTGCCGGTAATATAGTCCGGGTGGTTGTAGTGCTGATTCTGGGATAATCGGAAACTTCAGATAAGACAGCTTTTGTTCGGAGTCTCGTCGTGGAATTGAAGTTGTTAGACGAACTCCTCGAAAACCCATTTCGGAAATCTGTAGTTACTGTCCGGCATGAAAATGGGCTCTTCAGCGGAAGAGATGATCTGGACAAGTGAGAGATTCTCATTGACATGTTTCCCGAGAAAATCAGATTCAAGTAAAGAACCACTAAATTCTAGATCCTCCACTTCTCCTCCCGCAGTTCTTCTTCTTAACAACCACTAATCTCCTCTCTTTGATCTGATTCCGAGGATAGAACACTGCCAGACATTAAGCTTCAATTTCAGATTTTTCTGCGCAGATTTACTCAGTTTAGTAGATTTCGCGAGTAGGAGATGGGAGATAAGGAGGAGAATAACAGAGAGAATAAATAAAGAAAGATGTTTGTTTTTTTTCTTCTAAGTTGAGGTGTACAAAAAAGTTGCTGACTAAGATTAAATAAAATGTTTTCATTGGTTGGACGATTTAAATGAGATGTCAGTTCTTGAAAGCTTCAAAAAGCTGAGCTGTCAACACCTGGAGAGGCACATGGGTTTTTGCTGTGTTGATTACTACAAGCTGATAATAAATTTTGAATCGTTAAGATTTAGCCCTGATTTGCCCCCACGGCTTTTTATTAAGAAAAAAAAATAAAAAACCAACTGGCTGATGATTGTGGGTATACATTATGTCATTAACAATCATGTAGAGTACGCACGTACGGGTACGGATTACATTATTTGTTTGCAAATTGCAAGTCAAATAAATGCGAATCGTTTAGATAATTCCCAAGTGGGGGGGGGGGAGGAGAAAAGGACAAAGTTTGGACTGCTCGAGAGAAGCAAACACACATAGATAGGTAAATGATGGGCTAGAGTTTCTTGAGGACATAACCACAGCAACATTTTGACAAATGAGTTTCCTTTATACATACTAAATTCATGTTCGAATCTATACAGGATAACTAAAGTAACTTCTCTTAGTGTATTAAAATAAGTAAATAACATCACTGTGTTTCTAGTTTCTCCATCTATTTTTTAGAATTTGGGTACATGATCAGTGTCACATGCTAGGTGCACCATGTATCATGTATGTTGAAAAAAATGGAAAAAGAACTTGTTACAGTAAAATATCGTGATTCGATCATATTATCTGTAAGGGCAAAATACATTGAACATTGTTATGCCATCATATACTTACTTTCTTTAACCGTCTAAGACACGCATCATTAATTATTTGAATTATATTTGGGTGATTATCAATCAGACCGAATAAATGCTGTTAATTAAGTATTAAATGACTAATGATTCTCTTTAAAGTAAAACGTAACGTCAAACAAATAGACAATCCCGCGAAACAAATAGATTCTGTCTATCTTCGAAACATAATAGGGACCCACTTTAATTCTTACTTAAGACCAACTAGGCTTGGAGGTTCATGCATCTAAAACCCATCTACATAATTTATTTAGTCATATGCATCAATGCATGTATAAACGTAATAAACTTTTTGGGAAACGATAGGATTAGACTTCCTTTTTGTATTGTTTTGACGTGAAATAGCTAGGGTTACAGCTTACAGTTGAAAGTGAAACATATCTAAAAAATACTCATCAATCGTCATATGTAACCTTTTGTCATAGATGTACGAGAATAATACGTATACATACGCATAAAGAGTGGGGGAAAAAAAAGACTGTTACTTCGTCTCTGAACCAGGTCAAGTATAAAGTATCAACGCTCTCTCAAAAGAAAACCCTAGAAATGTAAACGACTCCTATGAAAAACATTACTAAATCCAGTTCACTCATTTCATGAACACATTTATTACATATCTATATTCAGAGTTTCACACAACATGTAATTTTTCCATAAACGAAAAAAAACACAATACCAGCAGTAACCGTAGTAGTAATATAACGCTCGCTTTGAGTCGCAAATAATTACCACGCATTACACAAACACAACACAACACATAACATATCATCATCAGTCCGTAAAACCTTAAAAAAAGTAACGACGGTTACATATATGTTACAAACTTTATTTGGTCTTTTACTTTATTTTTATTTTATTTTCTACCTTTTTTTAATACGAAGCAAGGACATCATCAACATCAAGCATCCACATATCCACCTCGGAGACGCAATCGTCGAGTTGAATCGGTTGCTCCACCGTGGTACCGTCCAGCTCAAGGAAAGACTCCAAGCTCGATATCTGCTGTTTCAAGTCGTAATCCGGTTCAAATCCGTAACTCGGATACTGAAACTCATCCCCATCCCCGGATCCAATGCACTCCACCGGGAAACTCGGCTGGTTTAACTCGCTCTGGGGAGAAACACAGAGCTTCTTCGCCGGAGGCTGATCGGCTGATCGTTGGGGTGGCGACGGCGGAGGACGATGAAGAAGATCTGGAAAGTTGAGCTTGGCTTTATCGCCGCGGATCCGCTTCGCCGCAACGTCATAAGCCATAGCGGCTTCCTCCGCCGTGTTGAACGTCCCAAGCCAGACTCTGACGCCTTTTCCTGGATCTCGAATCTCCGCCGCCCATTTCCCCCATGGTCGCTTCCGTATCCCTCTATAAACGTTCTTCCTCTTCCTCCGTTTCTCCGTCGCCGGCTCCTTCTCCTTCTCCGTTGCCTCCTTTTTCACACTCGCTTCAAAAATTGATCGGATTCCACGAAGGTGCAAAATTACAGATTTAACCCCCACAGATGATGAAACAATCCAATAAATAGCATTACCAAAACCATATGAATATGATGATTTGTTTATAAAAAAAAAATATCATTATCATCTCATCTTCCCGTAAACTCCGAGAAATAATAATATTTTTCCTTCATTTTAAGTAATAAATTAAAAGTCTATATTTCAGATATTGATTGTTCAAAAAATTTCATGTTCCTCCATAGAATGATGATTTTTAATGGTACCTTGTTTGGTGGAGGGATGAAGCTTGGAGGTGGAATCGAAACCCCAGAAGTCATCGCCGGCGGAAGCATCGAGCTCGGACCAGAGTTCCGCCGCCGTGAGTTTACGACCCTTGGCCTTGGTGACGATAGGGGCGAAATCGGAAATGATAGCACCGCCACACATTTTTTCTCTGTTTGTTGCTGGGTTTCAAGAGGGCGATGACTGCGGAGGAGCTGAAACGCATTTATAGGCGAAATAAATGCGTTACATAATAATAATACTATTATAAAGTCGGAGTGGATTAATAGTAGAATATTAAAAGTACTAATATGTTCCTTGATATACGACGGTTACAACAAATTTAATCCAAATAACGACAGAATTGGAAGCCTCTTTTGCTCTCTCTCTCTGCACAAGAAAACGTATGAGAGTGTCATTAGTTTATTAATCGGTATTTTGGAGTGTTGCGTCCTCAAATAAGTTGAGTTATTAGTTATTACACGTGATCGGCTTATTCCATCATTTTCTGGACCCGGATCTTTATCTGGAAATTTTATTGATTGATGTACTATAGTATTTTAAAACACATTGATAATTTGGAGATTAGACTGAGAGTTAGTATTAGTTGAGCTACATAAGAATTTTGATTAATTGAAAAGCAATAAAAACGAAAATAGGTAATAGAAGTTGGAAATACTAATATTGCAAGTCAAATCTATTGAAAAACACAATTATTTGTTTAATTGTTAACATTAACTTGGGTTTAAACTCAGACCATAGATGGTTGACAGAAAAGGGAATTTCATAGTCACAGATAGAGAAAGATAGGCGGGAAACAAATGAAGCAAGCTCTCGTACGTATTATAATGATTTAGTAAAGGATAAATAGCTAAATGTTAATTTGTGTATAAAAAACAACAATGGTTCATATATTTCTTGATAAATTCAAAACTGTTGTGTACTGTATAAGAAGAAAATCCAGTTGGTAAACAATCAACAACATATAAATGCACCACTTAAAAGAAGAAAAAAATCACAACCCACAAACTGCATAAGCTGACTCATTATCTATAGAAGAACCCATTAAATTCAGAAAGAATACACACACGTATGGAAATGGTCCATGGATGAGAGAGCTGAAACGCTTTTGAGAGCAAAGCAATTGCAAAGATTTGAAGGGTCTTTTGTTTCTCTTTGAGATCGTTAAGGATATATCAACCAGCCATTTGGGTTAGCCGGTGAACGGTGCTTCTAGCGATTCTATTCCCGGGATCAATCTTCAGAACCATCCTTAGATCATCAGCTCCGAGCTTGTATTTCTCCATGCTCTCGTATAAGAGTGCTCGCTGAACCAGAATAGCCACGTTCTTCTTGTCGTGATCAATTACCTGCAATCACATTTGAAAACAAACAAAAAAGGGAAACATATTTCATATTTTCAAATCTGGTTTTATCCTCACTATAAACAAACCATTATATGGAGCAAGCACAACAATGAATCAACATCCACAGTGTTACAATGCCGGACCACATAACTGTTCAGTAATGTTATTTTTCTTCTGCAATTGACTCTAAAACTTCTACATTTACATAGCAAAATCAAACTCGTATCAAATTGTCAAGTGTTATAAACCTCAAAGCTCTTACCACTACTGATTCTATCAAGAGTCCTAAACACCATTTCTAAAAGCCAATGCATACACAATCCACATCTAGAGAGTTCGTTTATGAATCAAGACTATACTACATACCTTGGTACAGTCTGCTACAGCCTTCTTATACTCTCCAACTTCTTTGTAACACGAAGCCCTAGTTGAAAGAACCTCAGCTGATCCAGCTTCATCGCCAGCTTTCTCCATAAGAATCACAGCCCAAGAGAGCCACTTTATGGCATCAGCATACTGACCCTGCCTCTGGTTATCAATGCCCTTCCCCTTAGCTGATGTAGCTGATACACCCGGTGGAGGTGGTGGCAACCCATCAAGCTCAGTGGTCGAACCCGAATCAGCCCCACCCTCAAAACTCTCAAATCCCCAATCTTCATTCTGCGGTGTCGCCGGTGCAGCTGGGGTATTGGAACCAGAGAACATTGATAATGGATCATCGTTTGCACTTGAGAATGTGTTTGATTTCGGAGCATTCTGGAAATCCCCAAAGTCGTTGCTTTGAGCAGCTGGTCCAGCAAAACCGCTACTGTTCGGATTCGGAGCTCCACTCTGGAAATTCCCAAAACCATCGCTCTGAGCATTGCTGTTACCATTTCCAGGTTTCTTCACAGAATTGATGCTTTCTGATGATTTTGATCCGAAACCAACCAAGGATCCAAACGGATCGCTGTTCAATGGCATCCCAGACCCGCTTAGATTGCCCCCAGACATGCTTTTCATCGATTGACCTCCGAGAATTGGAGTCTTAACGCTGCTGTTAACACTACCACCGGAGCTTGTGTAACCGCCTGAGAAACCACTCGGATTACTACTATAACCCCAGCCACCGCCACTTTTCATCGAATTGCCTGTTTTCGGCAACGAATCGGCCAGATTCCCCATGGAATAAGGGCTCTTGTTCGAGCCTGGAGCTGAAGCAGGCGGGGCTTTATTCAACGGCACGTTCCCGCTGGATTTTCCAATCGCTGATCCCACCAGATCTCCGAACAAGCTCGGGTCCTTGTTCACGATCCCAATACCCGAACCCGATCCGGAAGATGAACCCCACGTTTTGCCGTGAATGTCACCCACCATTGAAGTCGGTCCACTTCCGATCTCGGATCGGATCGTCGTCTGCTTCGGTGCGGGTTGATGCGTCCACGAAGGCTTACCGGGCTGCCACGCAGGTCTCGGCTGCGAATTCGAGCTCGAATAAGAAGATGTTTGGCTCTTCTGGCCATTCAGAGGTCTTCCTTGGCTCGATCCGAGCCCGAGATCGAAATCGAAGCTGTTGGTCGACCCTGATGATCTCTTCCCGAAGTTCGAATTCATGATTTCTCCTCAAAGTTTCAGATTTACAAAAGAGAATCTATACAGATTACAAAAAAAAGGAGAAATGCGCGATAGATGAGATGATACTGGCGCAGAATAGAGCGTGATCCGTCGCCGAGAACCGACCGTGAGAGATTCTTCGAATCCACCAGCTATCTAGAGATCTCTTTTAGCGATGTTTGTCCAGAACCAACGAAGGAGAAAATGAAAATAAAACTTCACAAAAAGACCCCTCTTGTTTTAACTTTCGTTCAATTCACCCCTAAATTAGTAAATTTAACGCTTACAATTTTGTTCATGCGCACGTTACTGAGAGAGTAATTGATACATCGTGACATAATTGTTGCATTTACAAAGTTTCGTATAAAAGGAAAACCTTTTCTTTTCTGAGTTTCTCTTATCCACTAATCCATTTACTGTATATGAAACTCGAGTTTTATCCTTTTCTAAATCCATCTGTATATAGAAGAATGACACATCAATTTTACACCAAAGAGACACATCTCTTTCCCTTCCTCTTTTCATCTTCCTTGTGGCTCTGGCTCTTTGTTTGGTTTTCAGTTTCTCGCGCTTTGGTTCTCGGCGTCGTGAGGTGTGTTTCACCTAGGCGGCGCGGCAAGGCGAGGCGGTTGATTGGTGGTTGTTCGAGGGTGTGCTGACGGGTAATTCTTCTCCGATCTGTCCTGCTTGAGGACGGTAGTGGCTTCGGTGAAGTTTCGGAGGTCACCTCTTTGCGGCGGCTCCTCTCGGTCTCCGGTCGTCACGATTGTGTGTCAGCTGGTCGTCTCTCTAGTTCTGGTTGTGGTTGTGAGTAGGAGCAGAGTAGCGTCTGTTCTGATATCCCTCCTTTCTCTCAGCAGTTCAATTGAGTGTGTTTTTCTGTTTGCTTAGAGTTGCTGCGTGGAGGTTTTTTCTTAGTGTGGGTGGACTGGTTTCTAGTTGGGGCATGATCAGGCTTCGGCTTTGAGGGTTGTTCTGACTCGTCGAGGATCTTCGTGGGGTGGCGGTGAAGAGCTCCGCCTCCACCTCCGGTAAGTCTCCTTCGGCATGTTCTCAGTTCCTTGGCTAGTGTTGCTAGTTTAGAGTTCTGGCTGTCGTCTTGGCTTGTTTGCGGATGGTCTCGGGTAAGTTTTTCGAAAACATTGCAATTGGAGGAGGTAGTAACACAAGAGGATCGTGTGGTTGCTTGACTCTGTGCTTGCCGACACCGGGGTGGTTGCTGAAAATGGTCTTGGGAGAGTGAGTTAGCGTACTCTGTTTCTCGTGTGCGTGTTGTTCCGACTTGGTGTTGGTCTTTAAGTTTTGGCTGACTGAGCGTCGGTACCTAGATGTTGAGGACAGTAGGATCGAGCCTCTTTCGGCATCTTAGAGCTCCGTCTCTTTGCTTGGGCATCCGTTGAAACAGCTTCCTTTTGCTTAGTGTTCATTTCTACCTGTGTATTTTCTGCTTTCGACTCAAGCTTGGGCTTCTTCTCTACTATGGGCTCACGAGCACTTTATCGTTACTTATCGTTTTCGTAAGAAAACTCGACAAAGTATCGGTTGTATTACGCTTCCATGTTTTTTACCTTTTTTTGCCATGGGACCGTTTAAGATAGGTGAAACATTTTGATTTCCAATATATAAAATCTAAACATTTCATTTTTAACGATATTTACATTCTTAGCAAAAAAATTTACACCAAAAAGTCACGATTATGCCCCATCAATTTTATATCGTATCTTTCTCTTTAAAGATACAAACAAGAAAGTAGCTAGCAACTATGCCCTATCGTCTCAACATCTTTTAAAATCTGATATAAATTCCATGTCAAGACTCTAGAAGAACAGAAGAGCTGTGGTATAGTTGGCGTTGCGTTTTCTCTAGAATCGACACGTATGAGTTGGTTTGGTACACAAAATAAGAGCCAAAGAGAAAAGAAAGTGTGCAAGCACCTGTGAGAAACTTCAAAGACTCTCCATGCCCGAATAAAAGCAAACTAAATAATCTAGACAGAGTTAACAAACAAACAAAAAAGAAGCCTAAAGAACATGCTGAAATCATGGTGATGACATGCATAAGCCAAGCTACCTGTTTTTGCTCTTGCTCAGAAATATCATGACGCTAAAGCATAATCAATTACAAAATCAAAAGATAAATCCACAATTAATGACCATGAATGTGTATACTCAATCAATCATGTCGTTATTTTTTTCACATTTGAAACTGGTCAAACTGTCAAAGTGTTATTGTTTGGAGGATTCTTGGCTTTCTTGTACATAAGAAAAGCCCAAATGAATTAGGCCCAACACTATTTTTACATTTTTTGAAAAGCGGGAAAATACTTAGAAGTCAAAATATTTCGTATCTCTCTTCCCACAACTCTCTGAATCTCTCAGTCTCACAGTTCCTTCTATCCTCACCAAACCACTTGATTCTTTGTGTTGGATCCTACAACCCCTTCATTTCCCATAAAATTTATCAATTTCACCTGAAAATCAGTTTTTATCTCTTCGAATTACGCTATCAGTCAGGATCCCAATTCGCAGCTTTTAGGGTTTCCGCCTTTTTTTTCGGGGATGAATTATCCAATCTCTACCCACAGAAGCTTAAATTCCGCGCGGCTTCACAGAAAATGACGATTCACGGTGGCGGGGGAGTTCGCGGCGAGAGGATTCATACAGTACAGCCGGAGAGAGATTTGGTGGCGAATTGGGAAGTTGATTTGTCGGAAAAGCTAGAAGAGTACCTCCTCAAAATATGCTCCGGTGAAATTACCGGAAACGAAGAAGATGGGCAGATTCCAGTTAATTTCGCCGAAGGTTTGTGAATTTGCTCCGAATTTTAGAAATTTCTGGTTGGATTTCATATCATTTGATTTGAAGGGTCACTGAAAAAATTGGGTTTCGAATTTGTGTTTTCTTGGATCTGTAGCTGCTTTGCTGCTTCAGGGTTCGGTCCAGGTTTATAGCAAGAAAGTAGAGTACTTGTACAATCTGGTCTTACGTACATTGGAGTTTCTATCCAAGCAAAGGTTCGTCCTTTCCCCCAAATTACCTCTTTTTTTCCAAGAGAATAACCGTAGCTAGTTGAACAGTATAAAAGATCAGTACTTTGGTTAGATATTCAAAACATTTCAGGGTTTAGGGTCTAACTTTGAGTTCATCTTTCTCTATGTGTATGGGTTTGTTTTGTGTTCACATATGAAGTGAATTTATACAATGGCTGCACCTAAAAAACGCATTTTTTACTGTATAGGTCCTGTGTCTTAGCTGTGAGTTCATGATAATCGTTAGTTCACTTGGAAATTTGAATCCTTTAGCCACTTGCAGTTCTTGGAGAAATGATAGTGACTATGTATCAGAGTCTAATAATGGCTACATATCATAATTTCACAAAAGGCTGTATATTAAAGTTGATAAAAGTTTCTCTCATTGATCATTTATTCTTGTTATTCGAAACAGAGACCAAGAACAGACAAAAAGGACATCAAACGAGGCTGAGGAAAGCTCCTCCCGTGAGGTTGATGAAGAAGAAAATGATATCTTCTGGAATGTAGATGACATCCCAGGTAGATAAAGTTCCGAAATTTAACATCATATCCTGGTTGTCACTCAGGGAAACCAGATTTCTAACTCACATACTGTTAATACTATAGTGGACGCAAAGAATAGCTTAGACGACTCTGTTGGCGGAGACTCCTGTCCAAGTCAGTTCGTCAAGCCTCCGGCAAACCTAGTTGTTCTTGAAGGTGACTGCTTGGATACTAGTGGTGACGGAGGAGAACTGGAATCATATCTGGTATAACCATGTTCTTCCACCTCTTAGAGCATTGGAGAATAAAATGAGCTTGTGATTTGAACTTCTGTTTAACTTTCATGTCTTGCAGTTAGCAACTACACATCTCTACAGGGATTTTATTCTATTAGACCCATGTGATGCTGTAGCTGTGAATGAGTTTTTAGGCGATAACAATGCCGGTAAAGGAAAGAACAGTTCTCGCAGAAGCAGCTCAATTCGTAAAGGCTTCCACTCACCAGTAGGACGTTCTGGAGGAAGTGCTCGTAGATCATCTTTATCTTTGGGAAAGAATCAGGGCACCAGTTTCATCTTGTCCCCAATATACGGGGATGGTCCAGATGTTCAAAACTGTGACCAAGGGTCTCAGCCTCCTCCTGTCTTTGGAGAGGATGATCATGGTTTCGACATGGATAATGACCATGGAGGAGCCATGGATTTGAGTGATACAGATGCTGATGAAGATGATCCATGGAAGCCATTGAATCCCTATGAGCCAGGGAAGTTGAAAGTGAAGCCTTTCAAAAAAGGTTGGGAAATGGCTTTATGTTTTCTTGATTGATGTCCTAATCTATATATCTTTCGATCTGTGCCTTACTTCCGGTTCATTTTATTTTCTTGATCAGTAAAAACTTCCAGAAAGAATCGAGGAAGCCTTGCCAAGGACCCTTTGACTTCCATGTTTCCTCTTGCTAGATCCAGCGGTCCCATCAGTACTGAGCTCAGCGGAATTTGGGAGAAGTGCCGTGACGCTGGTAAAGACGAGAGAGAACAACAAGACATTCCTTATTACGAGAAGGTCTGTGTTTTCTCTATACATTGATCTGATACTTTTTGATGCAGAAAAGAAAAACTGATAGTTTTGAATTTTGATCTCAGCTCCGAGCGTCGCTCCTGAATGGAGGAAACCTACCTTCTGATGCTAACGGCAATAAGGATAACCATGATGAAGCTAATAATGGTGACTTCCATGATTTTGGGGAGCATGATGGTGATGATCATGATCACGCGTTCATGGATGAAGATGGTCTCGATATGGTGAGTAGATTCACTAACTTGATCATTTTTCGGAGGAATTATATGCAGCCCTTATCCACTCATTTGAAATTTATGTAGAATGACGGTGGAGCTGCAGAGTTTCACAACCAGGATGAATTTGGAAATGAGGAAGCGCATTGTCAAGAAAGCTTGGAAGATCTTTGCCGCTCACACCTGGTAACTACATTGGTTCAATTCTTCCAATGTTCATCTATGTTTGTCAACTTCACCGGATAATTGTTGCAATGATATGCATCTTTGTAGGATGCTCTTCTTGCTAACATAGCTAAAAGTGAGAAGCAAACGGATCTGGCTGCTCGGGTTTCAACATGGAAACATAAAATCGAGCAAAACCTAGAAGAACAGGTAATCAATCTCTTTCTCCTAGTTTCTGTGAGACTGACTATACACTTGAATTCAGAGATTTAATGCATTTTCTACATTGTCTGGTCATATTGATTAGGAGTTGCACCCTCCTTTTGACATTCAAGAATATGGAGAAAGGATTATCAACAAACTGACTGTTGTAGAAAGTGAAAACGTTGAGACCTTCACCGATCTCATGAAAGACCAAGAAAAGCACGATGTAGCCAGAGCTTTCTCCGCGCTTCTCCAGTTGGTAAGTCACAGAGGAATACAATTTTTGTTTGTATGTTCACCAAACAAGAACTCATCAATTTGACTTGAATTGTGTTTTTCCAGGTGAACAATGGAGACGTTGATCTCGAGAAACCTGGGAACTCCATAGGTGAACCAGTGTGTTATACAGCGGTTAATCCCTTCAGCGTTCGTTTGCTCGGTGATCGGAACAGAAAGGCTGAGAAAAGAGGAATGAATCTATCCCGGAAACGAGCTAAATCCCCAGCAACCAAAGGCAAATCTCATGAGTCTCCACCGCCGAAGAAGCCAAACACATGTTCTGTTTCAAGCCAGACTCGGAAGGTCTCGTTAAAGATCTCAAAGATCAACAGTCTCGGTGCGAGATGCACACCGAACAGTAAGAAGAGACGAAAGGGTCGTTCTGATGAGGTAGGCGAAGTGACAGGAGTTCCTTCAGTGAAAAAATTGTAAAGCTAGAATGGCTAAATGAAATCCACAGATTAGGTTTGTAGTAGGTTTTGAGAATTTATCAGACAGTTAGGGAACTTTGTAACTGTCGTCAGTTGTGTAATTTATAATGAATGAATATTGTCAGAAGAAGTAGCTTATGTGTTGTAATAAACAATGAAAATTCCACTTTTGAGGATCTTTTTATATATTAGAAAGGGTGCTTGTGGAAATTTTAATGAATTCGGATGTTAAAGGATTGTGCATATACAATTGCTAAGTGATGTTCGTTATCACAAGAGAATCGAATAAAGAACTTTTCACAAAGAAAAATAGACAATTTTGTAATTTCATGTAAATGACTTGTTCGATCCATGTCAACTTGTATGATTCCATCTTCTTTTTTTACATTATACCCATTTCGATTTATTCGTCCACTTGTCCATTTATTTTCGTTATTTTATCATATTTTCTTATGGTGTGAAAGTAAATGTATTGTATATATATAGTACAAAATCAAATAAAGAAGAAACATAAAACGCCCCTTGTATAAGTATAAAAACAAAGAAAGATTCCAGATGAGTCTGTGACTGTGTCTACATGTTAATTCCTTTTCCTACACTGTTTTTGGACTTTTGAGTCTTTTGGAAACAAACAAAATACTTTATCGTCATCTAATTGACAAGGGAAAGTTCCCGGAAAGTGTATTCTCCTGATCTTTTTTGTCATCTACTATCTGTGAGTTCATACCTACACGTACCTAAATTGCCCTTCATTTACCAACCTTTTGATTAGTAGTTTATCTTTAGTTTTAATTCTTCATCTTTTTGTATAAAAAACTAAATTATTCACGGATATATCTCAACGACAATTGCCAACACCATTATATGCATTTTAATATTTTTATGTATTCTTTTCAACTGCAACAAAAAATGATGATTGGATTGGAGATAGTGCGAGTTGTTACTCCATTTGTTATGGTACATGAATTGAACTATATGTTAGTTTAATATGACGTTGTGGTGTGGTTAGGAGGCATAAGACTTGGTCCACTTACGCGTAGAAATCAAGAGTCATGTTTCATTGCATTTATATATCAAGGTTATTAAGATCCCTATAAGCAGACGACCCAATGAATAGACAAAGCTAAAAAAGAATAATGAAGTGAAAGGATTATAGGTCAAAACTCGAAAGTCTCAGCCAGAGCCGTCCCTGACATGAGAGTGGCCGCAAGCTAGGAAAAAAAAGGGCCATTTAGTTTATTAAGAAAAAAGGTTAAATAATAAAAAAAATTGAAGTAAACTAAAGTTAGCAGTCAAAGCGACTCGAACTCAATTACACTTAAGCTAAAGAGACTACTATGCAACCACTAGACTACAAGATATTTTTAGGAAAATGGGCCGAATAATTGTATATAAAAAGGAGGGCCGCATGCACCTGCTTGCCCTGCTTGCTCCGAGGGACGGCTCTGGTCTCGGCCGTGTTAAGCACGATTGTCACTGATGTTAACTAGGTCTTTTTATACATGGATTCGGTCGTTGGAACCTTATTGTTTGCATGTTTATAATAATTTAAGCTGCGGAAATTAAATAAAACACTTTAATTCGATCAGACAGACTTATACGTAATCCGAATACACATTACGTTTCGTTAACTTGTAATTAGGTAGTTGTATGATATGTAACGAAACCCAAAAGGATGCACACACAAAAAACGCATCATAGTCGTATTATTAAAAGTAAATTGTATATGAGAGACCTTAACAAGTTACGTTTTCATAGATAAACGCCCGATTTTGAGAAACAATCAATAATATAAATTATATTCTCGAACTGGAAATGATCACAAACATTTCCATAACTTTTGCTGTTTTGTTTTTTTATTTAAAAAAGATGGATGTGACGAAACATTAACAAGTGATGCTTTGATTTGTCTGAAGATGAATATTTACATTCTACAAACTGAAAAAAAAAAGAGTCTCTATCATGATTAATCACGATTATCACGACCATTGAATTAATAGTATTACAGAAAGTAGTCTGTACTCTGTAGAGATGGATAATAAATTCAATGTGAACGAACGACTGACTATTTACATTTTCAAACCAATCTATTTAATCAAATAATATCGGACGGTTAGTATTAATTCACTGGAAGCTCAGATTACGCCACGTGTTCACGGGGGTTTGAAATCAATTCCACGAAGGTTGTTGACTTGTCATTACTACTGTAATAACAACTTTTCCTTTTTTACTAGCAATTAAATCTAAACGAATAAGGAACATCCACGTGGCGCTCACCTAGTCTCTTCTCCCCGTTCGATATCTGACTCGCTCATCGCCATCGGTATCCGGCAGATCGATGACGGTGAAAGCGGCGGAGCTCCGGCGATAGGAGACGAACCGCTTCTCCGATCTCTGCTCAACATCCTAGTGAAAGATAACATCCGACTCATCGGCGACCTAAACGAATTATTCGGTGGCGAGTTACTACTTAAATCGTCTTCAAACTCGCTGAGATTTCTCATCGGGACCTCAATCGCCGCCGGTTTTCTCCCGGAATCTTCCACCGGCACCGCCGAAGACCCAGATTCGTGGGGTCCATCGCTCAATCCAGAGCTCGAACCCGGTTCGATCGCAGAAACCGGGTCAGAAGGAATCGCGATCGCGACATGCTCTTCCGCCGCCGTCGCAAGGATCTCATTTCCGGCGAAAGGCTCGACGAGAGAGCGGCAGAGAGGACATGTGGAATGAGAGTGAAACCACATATCGATGCAGTCAACATGAAAAGTGTGTTTGCAATTGGGCAAAACCCGACCCGATTCGCTCTCTTCGAATTCGGAAAGACAAACAGCGCACTCGATCGGATCCTTATGGGTCGCATCGGAGAAGGTGAAAACGGGGAGAGATCTCAAGACGGCGGGATCGAGGCCGCGCGACGAGACGACGGAGGCGGCGGCGGTGGCGGTGGAAGGATCTGCGGCGAAGAAAACCATTGTGGCGCGGCGGTTACGGCTGCGACGACGGAGATGACGTCTGCGAGCGCGGAGGAGATACCAGCGAGCGTAGAGATGGAGGAAGACCATTAAAATGACGACGAAGAAGAGGATTACTATAGCGCTCAGCATGATTTTGCCGCTCATGGCGTAGGTTCGAGAACCCGGGTTGGTTTCATCGGGTCTGCTCATCGGATCCGGGTCTTTGGAGTCCATGATTCAGCTGGGGAGTGAGAGAGAAGTCAAGTGGTGAAGGAAGGAGAAGGTGGAGAAAGTTTGGGTTTTTAGTAATGGCGAACGAGAGAGAGAAAGAGAGAGTTTCGTGAGAAAGCGCAATCTAATTATTGGAAATTTAGCAGACGACGCCAAAGTTGACGCGCGAATTTTCTCTTTTGACCATTCTGCCCTTCACAAACAAGGAAAATGCTAAAAAAATACTTTACTTTTTGTTTTTTCCCAAAATATTTCCAAAATATAATTCTCTAAATTTTTATTCTTATGGTAAATTTTGGATTTTTTTTTCTAAAATCAAGACTGGATAGAGTAATTTTGTTGATTTTACCCATTTTGTAGATTTTTATCCTATTTAGTTCCATCATGTTGGAAACTGAGATCGAACCCGGTTTTGGATTTAATCGGATTATTCGGTTTATTGTCTTTATCCTCTTTTGCTGTAGTTTACTACTCTGCTCCTGGTTTCAGTTTTAGCTTATTTCAACAAAATTTCCATCACAAAATCTTAAATCCCTTTACAAGACTAGATTCATAAGACACAGCTCATGAACTTCTAACCAATCTTTACGTCTCCTATATACATTCTCGAGTATAAAACTATTTGACCTCATTACTCAATTTACAACTCTTTCCATGTGGAATCTTCAAGACGGAAGCATAAATTAATTACCTGCCAAGATTCTCATCTCCTACAAATATTGTAACTACCAAAACTGATACATCTCAAGAGGCGTCACAAAACTTTCTTGTACCTGAAAAATCACAACTTTTTGTTAAGTTCTAGTTATATCCAAAGCAACATAAGCAACGTCAGTCTGTGTATACACACCTTTGAGTTCCACTTACTGTGTTCATCTACTTAACACACACTTTTCATTTGGCAAGAAACCATCCTCTACCATCTTCTTAAACAGCTTATCACCTTCACGAATCAGTCCTCGCCTACGAAACCCAGTTATCATCGTCCTGTACGTCACAACATTAGGCTTCACTCCTCTTGACTCAAGGCTACAAAACAAACCAAAAGCATCCTCCACTTTACCAGCCTTACACATCCCCTGGATAACAATAGTATACGTAACAATACTAACATCCATTCCTCTCTCCCGCATGTACTCGAATACCATCAACGCTCTCTCCACCTTCCCGTTACAACACAGACCGTCCAACAGAACGTTATAGGTCCTAACATCCGGAGAACCCATCAGATTAAACACATGTTGAGCAACGTTTGTATTCCCAACTCTACAATAACCTTGGATAAGAGCTGTGTAAGTGATTGTATTGGCAGCTACTCCTCTCTGTAGCATCTCGTAGAAGAATCTCATCCCGTCCTCTACTCTCTTAGACTTGCAAAATCCATGTATGAGAGTAGTATAAGTCACTACATTCGGGAAACAACCTTCACTTTCCATCGAGTAAAAAATTCTCTCAGCCTCGTTTAACCGACCGTCCATGCAAAACCCTTTGATCAACGCAGTGAGAGTGAAAACATTTGGAGCCACAAACATCTGTAACATCAACTTATAAAGCTGCAATGCCTCAAAGAGCTTCCCTGCTTTCACAAACCCATCGATCAACGCGGTGAAAGTGATCACATTCGGATCAATCTCCTTCTTCATCATGTCTTTAAGCAGTGAAGCAGCGTCACTCCATCTACCGGAATCGCAAAGACCGGTTATGAGAGAGTTGTAGGTGACAACGTTCGGTTTAATTTCCTCGGTTTGCATTTCGTCGAACAGGTTAAGCGCAAGATTCAGATCTCTGTTCTTGCAAAGAGAGTGAATCAAAGCTGTGTATGTGACAACATTAGGCCTATACCCCAATTCGAAAATCTGGTTGAACAAAGCTATTGCGTCATCAATTCTATTCCTTTGGCAGAATCCATTGATGAGAGAGGTGAAACTGACTACGTCAGGCTCAAAGCTAAGCTTAATCATCTTCCCGAGGAAAGAGGAAGCGAGAGATGGTTGATAAGATTGGCACAAACAATTCAATACGATGTTGTATGTGTAGAGAACAGGTGAAATTCCCAGGATTTGCATTTGCTCGAAGAGAGAGATCACGACATCGTACCTTTTCATTTTTGCGATAACACTGAGTAATGTGGTGAAATCGACGATTGAAGGGAGGGGATTGGAGAGAGCCATGCGAGTGAATAAATCGAGAGCTTCATTGAACTGGAGTTTGTGAAGACGACTGCTTCTCAGAATCTTTCGGTAATTAGAGAAAGCTCGTATCCAGAAGCAGAGGCTAGAGGATGGAGAAGCTCGAGTATTACCTAACTGTACACGATGATTGTGGAGAAGAAACCCTTTCGCTACCGACGCAAACCCAGCCGCAATGGATCTACGCATTCACAATTTTAAGTCTCAGGGAGTCATTTCGCCTGTGAAACCTTAAACCCTATAATAGCATCGTGCTGAGAGCTAGAAGAAGACGATAAACCTAACTCTCTATGAATTTGGGTTAGAGAAGCGACCGCGACGGACATTTGGTAATTTTGGTATAAGGAAAATAGAAAACACAAGTCTCTCCTACTCTTTTTAAGTCTGTAAACCATTTTATTTTAGAGTTACTACTAATTTAATTGATTTCAAAATGATACTTTCGTTTGAAATATTTTTGAAATTAGTACTGTTTGACCAAGAAAGCATTGGATTAACCATCTCTGATTCACTGGAAATCTTCTTCCATAGTTGTAACTTGTAAGACCTTTAGTTGAAGAATATTGACATGTATATCATCAGAAAAATGTCAGCAAGATGTGATAATAGCCACTGAGCCACATACTGTAAATCAAGTTAAATGTTCTTATTACTGAAGATTATACCCCACAAAAGTAAAATAAAATAAAATTCACAAAACACTAGCTCAACTTTCTTCACAAATCACAATGATACTTGATTGTTCTCAGCTATAGTCAAATCAAACCACTACTCCAATGTTATATGTAGCAAGTTTTGGTCTGAATGTGGAATGTTGAGGACTATTTGTCTATATATTATTTCCTTGGAAAAGGGTCAGTACACTACTTATGTAATGTATATCCTGTGTCCAACCTTTCTGTCTTGTCTCATCATCGACCTGTCAACAGAGTTGGGAAATTTAAAAGGGAACAACATAGTTTCATATGACAACAGAGCAAGAGGAGCCAAACTTTTACCAAAAGTTCCAGGTTATTGGTATCCACTACCATTGCATTTGGTAGATAAAAATCAAAGAGTTGATTCTCAATTTCTCATATCCGCGAGGTTGCTCAAGATAGCAATCAAGAACCTCAATTAGCAATTGTTTGATACATAATTTTTTTATTTGAGGAGCTAGTAAAAAATTAATGGCTAATCGTTATGGGACATCTCTTGCCTTGTGTCCAATTACTACAGCGAGTTCCACCACATGGTGAAGTATGTGGGATCTCAATTGTTCCACCGCCGAAGTACAATCAGGGTCCTACTTTCAGTATATTACAACGCAGGACCACAGTTGTCTTCTTAAAATTCAAGAATCCTAGTAATACTAAAAATATCCTGATGCAACTAACTGTTCATGTGAAGAAAGGAAAAAACAGGAAGAAGAACCAAAAGTTGATGGATTGGGTTAGTTGCTAAACATAAGTGTACATGTAATACAAAAGATTCGTTGTTGACTGAGTTAGCGAGCCCATTCGGTGCCACCAAGGGTCATTAAGCATTTCGAATTTCAATGGCCAAAATTAGAGAAAAGACTTAAAAATGTTTTGGCCTGCGAATAACCAAGCAGCCGCGCGAAATTCACAAATTAGACACACAGTAGAAGTAGATACCACCACGACGTGGAATTTCAAGAAACCTGCTTAGCATCAAATTACAGAATAAACATTTTCCTAATCACAACATACAGTACATTGTGTTTCGAAGTTATTTTTACATTATCTTCTTCTTTTTTTATTACTAAACTCTAACTTGATCTTCGAAACTCACCGTATCAACTATCAAATAAATGTGTTAAGATTAATCAATATCTCCAAAAATTGTTGAAACATTAAAACTTTGTATCTTATATATCCTCAATCCAAATTCTTATCTCATATCTAAATATTTCTTTCTATAAAATTATATTATTATAATGCAGATAAACTTCTATAAAGAGAATTGTTCACAAATATTTTGATATGGATTTCATTTATTATGAGAAATGAGAATTAAAAGTAAACAATTTTCTGTTTATGTTTGCATAAGAATTAGATTGAAAGATTTTGTGTTGGTCGAATATCTAGTTAAAATGTAATTTATATATTTTAAAAAATATTAGCATAGAATTTTAAGAAGAAACACTTTTAATTTACTAAGATACATTTCATCGGTAAAATAAATAATTTACGTATGTATATATAATATTTATGGATTTACATTATAAGTTTTGGTCAACTATTTAGTAAAGTAAGATTTTCAATTTCACATATAGAATTTATAAAGTAAGATTTTAAATTTCTCATAATAATTTTAAGCGTATGTGTTCTCATAATCCCTTATCCATGAAATAAATAACTTATCCAAAATGAGAGAGGTATGTTTGGGTCAAATATTCAGTTAAAGTAATATTTTCAATTTAAAGTAAAAATTCGAAGAGTAAACTGGTGAAATGAACAACTTATCTTAAACGGATATATAATATCTATTGATTTATATGTTCTGGTCAAATATTTAGTTTAAGTTACTAAAATACGTTTATTCAGTAAAATAGACAATTTAGCTAAAACGAGAGAGAGACATAGAGCATGATATAGTATTTCTTTTTTTGTAAAAGGACATCACATATTATTTCTTGATTTAGTCTATGTATTTGTGGTTTGATTTTGGTTTTTAGAAAAGTTAGAGGATAACTTTTTTTTTCTTTTTTATGAACAAAGGATAACTTTTTTTCCTTTCTAGTTATCTTTTCAAAGTGTCGCTTAAAGCATACAGTCAAAAGCGTGCGTGAAGTATGCTAGCTGTTGTTGAGGCGATTTTCTTTTGTTCTTGTCAAAAGTACTGAATTCTTGTAAGTTTTACAATTAGTAGGTTGCACATTATCGATCGATTTGCGTCAATATCTAGTTAAATAATGTCTTCGTGATATTACATGCATTCAAATCTTCATTAAATCACTGTTTTCAATTTCAAATGGGATTATAATCTTTGTTGAACAGAAGGAAAATAATAAGTCAACCTGAAAAGTGGGAACAAGAGGTACGCACGACACTAGTTTTTATCCTTAATCAAATATTCACATGCTCCATGAGCCCTACTATTTAAACATTAATGTACTGTCGTGTACTCATTTTGCTGTCTGGAAGAGAATTTATATTTTATTAATACACTACCATAAACTCACATATATGTCTTATATAAATCCACATCTATCAGATAAACACAAAGTCTCCTCCTGATAATTTGTCTCTCTATCTCTCTCTCTCATCCTCTTTTCACTACTTCCTCAAAGACTCATCTCAAGATATGGCAGAACTAAGTTTTTATGTTGGAGTTATAGGTAACATTATCATCTTCTTTCTCACGTGTTTCAAAATTATCAGTCTACATCATATATACACATGGCCCTACTTTATCTATATATTATAACAACTGAGTTATTTTTATATATATGATCGATGCAGGAAATGTAATATCAGTTCTTGTCTTCCTCTCCCCTGTGTGAGTTATCTCTCTCTTTCTCTCTCTTTTTCTGTGTTTTTAGCTGATTAGTTTTGATTATCTATTAGATGATTGAATTATAAGAAATGGGTCGTGAACTAATTAAATTACATGAAAATGATTATATAGGGAGACGTTTTGGAGGATAGTGAAACGGAGATCGACGGAGGAATACGAGTGTTTGCCGTACATTTGTACGTTGATGAGTGCGTCGTTATGGACATATTACGGAATAGTGACACCTGGCGAATACTTGGTGTCTACGGTCAATGGCTTTGGAGCTGTTGCTGAAACAATCTACGTTCTCATTTTCCTCTCCTTTGTCCCCAAATCTAGATTGGTTCGTTTTCTTCTCTACTTGCATAAAATTGTGTGTAGTTTTAGCTTGCATTTATACACTGTAGTGAGATCGTATTTGTTTTTTGTTTTGTTTTTGTTGTTGGTTGAAATCTGAATTTTAATATATGGAAAGATAAGGGATTTGTATTGATATGAGTATGACTCAGATTCAGATCTGATTAGCAGATTTATTTAAATATTTTATTGTGACGTTTGATCAATAATGTGATTTTATATATAGTAATATGTCTACTTGCTGTATAACATTATTTAACTAGGATATGGTCTACTTGTACGCGTTTAATTTTCTAACTAATTGGGTTTTCTTCTTATTTTTCAGATGAAAACAGTATTAGTGGTTATAGCTCTCAACGTGTTATTCCCAATTATAGCGATTGGGGGAACAAGAACTGCGTTTGGAGATGCCAAATCGCGTTCTAATTCAATGGGTTTCATATGTGCTACTCTCAACATTATCATGTATGGCTCTCCTCTTTCCGCTATTGTAAGTCTCCTTTCTTTTCACATTATACACATTGACTACATACAAATGATAATAACATTGGATTATGATATCAATGACTTTTCTTTTCAAGTTTTTTCGTGGCTGTTGTATATAAATGTTATTATTGTTCCATTCGACAATAATCAAAAACTAACCACCACAAAGAAACAAAAACAGAAATTTTATGGAGAGTGTTTTTCATCACGTGTTACTTAAAAGGCCAATGTTTCTATTATTATCATTATATGGTCTTTTGGATATACACGTAGTGTGGTTTTAAATTTAATCCAAATCATTTGAATGATTGATGCGATCAGAAAACAGTTGTGACGACGAGGAGTGTAAGGTACATGCCGTTTTGGTTGTCGTTTTTCCTCTTTCTAAACGGAGGGGTTTGGGGTGTCTACGCTTTACTCGTACACGACGTTTTTCTACTAGTAAGTGTATCATTGTTTTGAACTTTTGATATAAAAGAGATAATTTTTCAAAAAATTATTATACAAGAGTTAACAAATGTTTATATTTGCGTGTGTAGGTGCCAAATGGAATGGGCTTTTTCCTTGGAGCAATGCAACTCCTAATTTATGCATTTTACAGAAATGCCGAGCCAAACGTAGGAGATCAAGAGGAAGCCCTCATACCAAGCCAACCTCTCATCTCTTAAGTTCGGTTTAAGGGAATACAAAAACAGTTTTCGTTCTTTTTTTTTTGTCTTGTGTTGAGTTTTCGTTTTGGTGGTTACCAATTAACAACATGCATAGATGTCATCATGTATAATGTTTTGTATTACCTCGGGTGTGAGTACACGTGTGATTGTGTCTAAGTTACATTGGAGTCTTTATTCAACCAATTTTTTTGAATGATTTGCATTTGAAAAAGCTTTCATATATTTTGACTGATTCTATTATGATTTGTTATTTTAATCTTCGAAAATATCCCTTCAATTCATTATATTTTGTTCTACATTTTAACTACTGATATATTGTAAAAACACTCTGAAGTTGTAGAAGTCCTTTTAAGTCCATTGGTTGAACGAAAAGTTTATTAATGCTTATACAATATACACATCGTGAAGTTCGACTCAGAAAAAAAAAAGTACAAATTTTGGAGTTTTCTAAAAGCTTATATTCTTAACGAAAACTATATTCATTTACAAATCATCAATATTAAGAAATCATCATACAATATAGTTAAACGGAGCCACTCAGACACACTATGATTCATATATGTAATATGCAAGTTAAGGACACATAAAACACTACTTCTTTCAATTCATAACACACCAATATTACACATGCCAAACATTCGAAAAATAAACTGCAACGATTACACTTTAAAGATTCATACATAATTAAAAACAGACCTTATTCATGCATATGGTTAAAGCATACGCAAGCAAACATAAATTGGTCACAACACAAAAACAGATAAGCATAATAGAAAGACACACAGTCACCGAACATAGTTAAAATACAGTTTGGAATCAGTTAACGAGGCCAAAGTTGGTGGGAGCGAGGGTGGCTACGCGGAGGATACCGTTGACGGTGTTTCCGACGAACGTCAACGGCGAGAGGAGTTGACCGGCGGAAGGAAGTGAGGCGTTGCAGGTGGAGAGAGGAGTCGTGACGACGACCTGACAATTGGAGAGGATTGTAGAAAGCACAGTCTGGAGTGGGTTCAAAACCATATTGAATACTCCGGCACCGTTAGTAGTCGACGTTGAAACAACGTTTTGGCCGCACCGGAGCTGAACGCCGGCATCTGTTCATTTTGTAGCGTTAGAGATTATAGGAAAATGTTATGAAAAACTAAATCTGAAAGTTATATATTATATATAACGTACTAGCGAAAACAGGAGCGGAAGCATCGGCATTGACAGAGCAGCGGACAATGCCTAGGATATTGATGGCACCGAAAATGCCACCAAGACCACCACGTCCACCACCACCACCGCCACCACCACCACCACCAAGAAGACCACCAAGACCAAGACCACCAAGAAGACCACCGCCACCACCACCACCAAGAAGACCACCAAGACCAAGACCACCAAGAAGACCACCGCCACCGCCACCACCGCCACCTAGAAGACCACCAAGACCAAGACCACCAAGAAGACCACCAAGATCAAGCTGAGCTTTTGCCATTGGAGACACCATCATGAGAAACACCAAGATCAGTGAGACAGTTATGCGTTTGTTCTTGAGCATTGTCATGTTCTCTTGGGGTTTCTATAGACAATTGTTGTTAGAAAGAAGATGTTTATTCTGTTTTGTGTTGGATGTATAAAGTGTCTTCCCCATGCAGATCTATTTATAGAACAAGTTTTACATATCTCGCCTCTACTATTTTACTCTAGACCCGAAAAAAATGCGTATAATTTATAAATACAGCTGTATAAAATTTGGATTGGTTAATTTCATTGAAATTTTGGCGAGTTTAATAAGTAAACTCGAATTCTTAAGCATAATTTCAACTGTGTACAAAGTACAAACAAATCAATTTTAATAATATATTTATTTGTTTTTTCCACAAGATTCCAAGAATATGCCTGGAAATTTATATTTCTGTGGTGTTAACTGAATACTTGTGCCATACTATACTGAATTTTCAATGGATTTACATAATACTAAATCATCGCATGCCTTTAGTTGATACTCTAGGTAAGCTGTAACTTGTAAGCATTCCGAATGCAAATATGCAACTACATGCACCTCGTATTTGGTTGTATACGAACCCATGCATGCATGATGTCATATTGTCATGATATAAGTTTCGAGAACTCAACCCGTACCGTATGTAGTCGTATCAGAGATAGCGGTGTATAATGAATGTAAACCTCTCTACTAATTGGCATCAAAAGAAGCGAAAAATAATTAAGATAAAACCATATCATCAGTAAAAGTTCATATACGTAAAACAACTTATTGCTTCCATAATATTTCACCAATGAAATATTGAGATCAACCTTAAGCAGGCATACCAAAATATTCATTTATATACAATCCATAACCTAATTAGATATTAATTTAAATGGAATGAGGATTTAGTAGTGAGTTTTTGCGTAAGTTTTGAGTGGAGTTTATGAAATTCTTGATTTTCTTCTACTGGTTCGTTAAGACAAAGTATGTTATCTAGTTTATGGAAAACTAAAAACTAAAAGAAACTACATTCTTACGCAAATATATCAAAATGCCGATTTTTTATAAAAAAGTTTGGTCAAGAGATAGAACCCGCAAAGCAAAGAAACAGATAAAGAAAGACGAAAGACAAAATATAGGACTGCAATTTTGTCTTTAAATGCATCCTAAAGTTTTGGGTCAAGAAAAAAGATATGGTGAGTCCTGTTATTCCCGAGTCCAAATCCAACTATTTGCATGATTGAGTGGTCTTAACTCTTAAACCCCAAATCGTAGGGGGGCTCTCCTATAGATTTGGCTCCTTTTTTCCTCGTTAATTATTTTAATATATATATATATATATATATATATATATATATATATATATATATATATAACAAATCAAACTTACACAACTAGTCTCTTGATAGAAAGAGATAAGAGAAAATCCACCACCCATCTTGTGTTATAGCTAGATTGGTCCACTGAACCTATTTTTAATCTTCGACTTTGAGTTGGATCATTCGTTTTGTAACCATAACAAAGAGTTATCTCATACGTAAATGTGAATGTAACTTAGGAATAAGCTATTCTAAACTCCAAGGGACCACAAAAGATCCATCCTCTGTGCCATTAGTCGTATCGCGATCAAGTTGCCCTCACGGTAACGGTAATTGTTCAAGAATCGTTTGATAGACACCACAAAATCCTAAGAAAGCCACTCGAGAGTTTACTAATAGTAACTAGGAAACTCAAGTAGATGGTAATAATGAGACAAGACTTTGGAAATCTAAGTATATTTCTGAGCTTGTTCTCGTTACTCCTTACGAGGCTAGATTAAAATCCCATAATGAGTGAGTATCATATGTGAATGTATTAAAGCTACAATCAACAAAGAAATTACAGTGCTGTGTTTTCTTTTCTTATTTATCTAATCTTAGGGGAATTAAGAATCTAGCAAGAAAATATATATATCCAATCGACCAGATTCTGGTGAGATTAGTGATTAGTCTGACTTGAGTTTGAGATAATTAGAGAGGTCTGAGAGAGAGAGAGACTTTAGAAGCGTCTGATGACTTTGGGAGGTTTGTAGTTGAGAGGATGAGTTTCAGGGGTCGCATTCTCATCTTCCTTCCACATCTTTATTGTCTTGTCTGCCTCACACGTTACCAATCTTGTACCGGTCTGATCGTAACACGCTGCATATATACCGGCTTCACACTCCAGCGAACCTGCAAAACATGTAAACAATATAAGGCCTCATCCTTAACTACTTTTTCAAAACTCTGCAAGACTTGTATAATAAGATCTTAACAAAGAATCCTTTCGAGAAACACAAGAGCAGAGGATTAAGAAAACAGAATGAGATCATACCAGGCTGTACAATAGTTTCTGCTTGCTGGAAATTGTGACCACTCTTCCAGTCCCAGAAATATAAGCCTCCAGAATCACCTTCAATGATACAACGATGGGAACATTTTTAATAAAATGAAGAAGGGTACAAGTATCAGAGTTTTATCCAGTTATTACTATCAAAGAAAGAGATTTGGAAATGAGTTAATACCTCCTGTGGCCAGTACTCCATCCTCGTTCACAGCCGCTGCGTTAATCGTGGCTTTCTGATGAGTGCTGCTCCATGGGTAAATTATAAACATTAGAAACACATCCGAATATTAAAGATGCTAATATGAAATAAATGAAAATTTCTCTTATAGATTGCACCGTAAGATGTAAGAGAATGGATTAAGACTCAAAGGAATCTCGGTACGATGATGATCCAAGAACTAATTACAAAGGATTTCAGAAACTTACAGCATGTTGTGGCAGAACTCTCCCCTAGGAAGGCTAAATTTCTTGATGTTGTCAGATGATGCAGAAACAAAAGCATTCCTGGACGAGACAGAAAGATAACATTAAAAGACTGATGCATTATCATCATGCAGAAATTTAAGGTTGAAAAAGCAAAGACAATTACTCTTTCGGATGGAGAGCCAATGCTCGGACATTATGCTTATGATTCGTTAGAGTCGTCATTGTCCTACCTGATTAATCATATCAAACAATATATTTGTAAGCCCAACCTCGCAACCAATTAGAAGGGAGAGACAAAAGAAAAGTTCAAAGACCAAAAAATGGTTAAATGTGAAGTGTACCATATCGGAGGTCCCAGAATTTAATGGTTGAATCTGAAGATCCGGTAATAACTTGTGGGTTCTGCAACATATCACACACCATCAGCTATATATCCCAAGTTCAAATGATTTTGAAAGAAACACATATGACTATATGAGAACTAATTATGTTATAGAATAAAGGTGCTTACAGTCGGACGGGCGATAACGGAGAAAACGTCACTGGCATGTCCCGAGAGTGCAAAAACTTGCATCTTCGTACGGATATCCCATACCTATAAGCAAAAAAAGAGTTTTTGTTTACCAACAGACTCAGAGAAAGCAAAAGTTGAACTAATACATATGCTTATAAACACATGACACATCTTTTGAGTAGATTTCTTACCCTGCAGACAGAGTCTCGCCCTCCGGTTAGTAAAACATCCAAAGTTGGATGAAGAGCTAAACAGTAGACGCCATGCAAATGACCATGATAAGATCGGATAACCTTATTGTGCTCTAGGTCCCAGCATTTGACTTGCTTGTCATCACCAGCAGAGAACATATAGGTATGTCTGTTGCTTACAGCAAGGCCTCGTACTTGCCCAATATGTCCAGTAAGCGTGAGCTTCAAAACTCCACTCGCTACATCCCATATCTAGTGAACATGAGGCAAATAAGCAATTCAGCAAAGAGTAATACAACCACAATTGCTACAAGCGCTATAATGCATCAAGAATAAGGTTAGAAGGCATTGAAGTGGAAATATTCTGTTAAGAGCCATCGGTTACCTTAATGGTACGATCAGCTGAACCAGTGCAAAACCATTGATTGCTTGGGTCAAATGCAACAGATCTAACCCAACCCAAGTGTCCCTGGATCACCTGTTGAAAAACAAAAAAAAATACGTCACCTGAAATGAACATTGAGTACTCTCCGGAGGCCAACAAATGGCCTAAAAAGACCTATACATCCTACTGTATCACATATCTTACCCTGTAGGTCTTCCATGGTGCATGCCACTCTGGACGAGGCCATCTACTTGGTATTCTTTCCATTAAAGCAGCAGTGGACAGATTTCTGTAACACATAGAGGGGTTAATATCGACAAATAATGAGAAACTAACGCATGGATACAAGCTACAGGTACGTAAGGTTAAACAAATTCTATGACTATGAACAACCAACATCACCTTGCGGTTTTAATGTACAACCTAAGTATCACAATCTAGATATAGTGTCAATATATAGAGAGCCAATAAAAGACGAGAAGGATGAGATAGAAAACCTTGCAGATGAAGATCCAGATGCAGGAAGAATGGCGGTGCTTGTGCCTGTGTGACCAGTGTTGTTCCTTCAATTCAATAACAGATATTATCAGCATCAGTCACAAATGCATAACATACTTAGAATATAGTAAATTGCATATATGAACTCCAACGATTAGAAAGATTCCAAAGGGAAAAGGTAAACTCACAAGCTTCTAGACGGTAAAGTTGGACCAACAACTAAAGCTTTCTCTGTTGCACCCTTTTGAAGTTCCTTGGACCCTTCTGGACCTGCATAATTCATCGAGTAAATATATGCTACGAGAATATATTACTCAAAACCAGAAAAGTGGAAAGCTAATTTGGTCCTCACATGGAAGGGCAAGAGCGTTCGATGGAGCTATCTTTTCATTGTTATGGTCAGCCCTACGTGCAGGCTGCTTACTCACGGCTTCTACACCTCCAAATGCAACTTCAATCTACACAAGAAACCTCTCTAAGTCATTAACAATGAATGGACACTGCCAGTATGAACAGTACATGAATTGATCTCGTTAACAATAACTCTAAAAATCCATTCTTTCTACTGAGAACAGTGAGCAATACATGAATTGATCTCATATCCCAGGTTCAACATCTCAGAAACTTGCAATCCAGTATTAAAATCTAACAAACACATGAAGAGAAGAAAAAATTAACAAAAAAACTAGGAAAAGGACCTTTACCTTATGACAGAGTCGAATTCTTTTGCTGCGAAGAAACAGAGAAGAAGAATACGTCAATACATTAAATTTCCGAGAAGAGTTTGAGAAATACAAAGCGAAACTAGGGTTTAACCTTTCTGAATCAGGCGGAGCGAATTGGTCACGGACGGGGGAGAAGAGATCACGGGCTCGCTTCACAGATTTGAGACTGAGCTTTTTCAGTGACTGGGGTTCGATCTCTGTCGTCAAAATTGTCATCGTCGGTTACGGTTAGGGTTTTACACGGACAGTCAGAATCACAATCAGAATCAGAGCGAGAGAGACGGAGAGAATTAGAAAGAGAGGGAAAGAGATTAACCGACCCGAATAAGGAACCGGACCCTTATTTATATTCGGGAGTCTCGAATAGTCGAATCCCCACCCGTTTACTCGAACCCGACCCGTATACCGTTCGGACCGACTTACTTTTTTTCTCGAATTTGTAAAAAGGTAAGGGTAGCTTTGAAATTTGGAAAATAGCAAAGCCTAAAAAGGTAATTTAGCATTTTGGGAGTTTTTTTGTTTCCTGTGTTTCGTGCTCCATCGAAAACCCTTGATAGAATTGACTATAAATAACAAAGTTATAACCTTCGTTTTAATCCCTTCGTCGCTGCGTCTCTCTCCCGCAACCTCAATTATTCTCCCTGTTCCCCGAGAGAGAAAAAAAAAAATCAATAAGCGACCATGTTGGTGTACCAGGATCTTCTCACCGGTAAACCTCAATCAAACTCTTTCCTTCTCGTTATTAATCGCGATCGTGCTTAATCGTGATTTCGAGTTTTTTTTTTTTTCGAATTGAGATTTTTCGTTAGATCTGTGATCGCATCTCAGGCTTTTATCGTCAATTGCAGCTCTCCGCATCGTTAATTCGAACCCTAATAGTGAGGATTGTAGTTTTTTTAGGTTCTTTATTTGGTTCTGTTAGATCTGTGATTGATTAGTTTATGGATGTCCTCGGGCGAATTTGGATGTGGTTGCAATTGAGCTTTCGATTGTTTAGATGATTGATTTTTGAGCTCGATATGAATAATTACTGAAGATTCTGGTGAATTGATTTCAGGTGATGAGCTTCTCTCTGACTCTTTCCCTTACAAGGAGATTGAGAACGGAGTTCTCTGGGAAGTAGAAGGAAAGGTCTGTGCCATAAACCATCTGCTTTTCTTTTTAAGCTTTGTTCTGAATTCGTTTGATTCCTTTTCTCATTGGATTTTATTCTTTCTCTTATGTATGTATACAGTGGACCACGTTGGGATCTGTGGATGTGAACATTGGTGCCAACCCATCAGCTGAAGGCGAGGATGAGGGTGAGGGTGTTGATGACTCAGCTGTTAAGGTTGTTGACATTGTTGACACCTTCAGACTTCAGGTTCGTTTTCGTCTTATATCTATTAATCATCTCACACTATGTGCTCTGTTTTTCGACGTTGTTGTCTTTGCTATGATGGGTAGCCTCCGGATATGTTGATACTTAATTCAAATTATTATTTTTTCTGTTCTTTTAGGAGCAACCAACATTTACCAAGAAGGACTTCATTGGTTACATTAAGAAGTACATCAAGCTTTTGACACCAAAGCTCAACGAAGAACAGCAAGCAGCCTTCAAGAAGGGTATTGAGGGAGCTACCAAGTACTTGCTCCCCAAGCTCAGTGACCTCCAATTGTAAGTTTTCTTCACTCTTTTCATTAGCACCTCTTTCGTCTGAAGAAATATTCTCATTCTGTTGTTTTGATGGGAATTATAGCTTTGTCGGAGAGGGGATGCACGATGACAGCAGTTTGGTGTTTGCTTACTACAAGGAAGGAGCAACCAACCCAACCTTTTTGTACTTCGCACATGGATTGAAGGAGATCAAGTGCTGAGTTAGAGGCTCTCCGGTCGTCACTGTGGTCGCTCGCAGCGACTTCCTAAGTTTATGTTTCTCTATTTTGTCTTCTGTTTCTCCGTCCCCTATTGACATTATCTCCCACCCGCTTGCTTTTCTTGCTTCTTCTTCTTCTCTTCTGTGTTGGAAGATTCTTGAGTTATTTGATCCGAATACGACTGTTTATCAATTACTATTAGCTGAGTTTTGGTCGTTATTATTATGTGTTCTTTACTATAATCTCTGTTTGGTTTGCTAATCTAATTTAGTCGCTGTTTACAATTAAATCATGGCATTCGAAGCGAGTTTACAAATTCAAACAATATTTGATTCAGATCTCTGTGAATGCAAAAGCATATTCATTGTGTTGCGTGGGAAAATAATTCCTTTCCTTGATGGAATAACAGCACGATGTGGTTGTGACACGTAGGATTTTTATAAAATTCAGGATCGCGACATGTGTCACTTTTAAGTTTATGTCTTTTAAAGAAAACAAAAAATTTAATTTAATTTAATATTATATCAAAAAGGAAAAAATAATATTTGTTATATCCAAACAGAAAAAGGTTTCATTCATCAATTTTTTATTATATAAAGTTGGATGCGCACGACGACACATAGGATTTTTATAATTTATAAGATCGCGACATGTGTCACTTTTAATGTTACGTCCGTTAAGATCGTGACACATGTCTTAGAGAAAAAAAAAATAATAATAAAAAATTTAGATAAAGGAAATTGTTTTTAAAAAATTAATCCATTACAGTTAAAAGAAATAAAAATATATTTGTCATATCCTAATAGAGAAAGGTTTCCATTCATCAAATTAATATTATCCAAACAAATAATAAAATCAAAATAATGTAATAAATAAAATCCTATTTGTACATGGAATATGTTATGTAAACTAAATTTCCTATAACTGCATGTAATAGGTTACTTGAACCCCTATAAAAGAGAGTCAAGATTTCTCAATCATAAATTCATCAAAACAAATTCATCAAATCCCTTTGATTATATTTCTCCAATTTAAAAATCATGTTTTTGAAAGTTTTGCGATACATAGGATTTTTATAACTGACAAAATTGCGACATTGTTTTAGAAAAAAAAAATTCTGAAGTATGAAGATCGTAACATGTGTCATGGAATAAAAAAATTTAATATGTATAAGACTAACTAAAAATTAGAAAAACAGATAACAAATAATTAAAATGAAAAAATAATATCCATTAAAAGTAATAAAAAAACAGGAAACAAATAATTTAAATTCTTTTGTTACATCTATTAAGAAAAGGAAAAAAATCATTTCGAAAAGGAAAAATACCAATATATAGTATTTATAATGGTCAGGCAAAAAAAAATTGAGAAAGAAAACATATAAATAAAAAACTAACAAAATAATTATCAAGCAATTAACTAATATTAAAAAATTATAATTGATATTCTAATTTTAAATAGTTTGATTTTCAATTTTTTTAGGTAAAAAAATTGAAATAAATATTTCATCAATTAAAATCTCTTGAATGGAATAATAATCAATTGATCAGATTTAGACATGTGTAAGTCTTTCTGTATTGGATAAAAATAATAGTAAAACAAATTAATTCATTTTGTCATATCATAAATTCAAAAGAAAAATTAATTACAATAAAAATGTAAAAGTATTACCAATCTTATTTTATTTAAATATTTTTATCGGGTTTTCAATATTATTTTGTTTATGTTTAAAAATGATCAAATTTTGTTTAATATTTTCCATGTTTTATTATAAAATCTTAAAATATACCCGTGTATACGCGGGCCTTAATCTAGTGCTTTATATAATAATACGCTTCACTATTTAAAATTGTATTTTTTTCTTTTAAAGAAGAACAAAAAGTAGCAAGACATCAACACTGGCGTGTTGTCCTCTCTGTATGTCTCTGCTCGTTAATGAAGGATATTCACATCCCACGTGTGGGCAACTCCATGTTAGAGTTCTGTCCTCTTGGTTTAAGTAGTGAAACAAATCACAACTGTGGTCGTACCTCGTGTTGTTTTATTAATTCGACGATGGCTGAAATTTGAAGCCATAAATTGAGTAAAGTTTGCTATTTTAAGATATAGAAGCAAGTTTATAAGCTCCGTGAATCGCTCATAAATAAATTAAAAAGTAGGAGGAGAAGACAACAAAAATGCGTTGGTACGTATTGTATCTCAAGTAAAAGGAACGTGATTTGGTCGGTTTGATGTTCTCCAACTCTAGTGACTCTAACGTATTTAAAGTCATTATCTTCTTCAAAATTTATTGTTTTCCTTTCGTTTTAGCTATAACTTTAAACAAATTAAGTCCGGTATTACGTAGGATCGACTTGTATTTTGAGGTGTATTCACTTGGTAGACAAAGATAATGTTAAGCTGCAAAAAGAAAAAATGGTTAGGACGGATAAATAAAGGAAAAATCCTTGCATAGTGTTTGTTTATACTTAAAATCAGAAATTCTTTAGATCGAAATGCTTTAGGCTAAAGCAAAAGCTTTTTGATTAAAAATAAACTTTTTGATTCAAAAGAAAGTAACACACAAGCTGTGTTGCCCCACTTCTATTACTTTTGCATATTCTTGTTCTCGTATACTATATTGGATTATACAATACACACACACGTATGATAGGTTTTTTAATACACACACACACACATTCAAATAGATATCCATACACCTATTCTAAACGTTTTTAAAAAGAATAATAGATTCAGAAAATTACATGGGCCAACGAAAAATAAATTGAAAGAGTAAAATAAGAATAGTGATATTTAGATTAAATCATTGTCATGTACTAAAATTCCAAAAGTTGTGGCATTCATGTCGAGGAAAACTCAAATCACTTTCCTCGGATAGATTCAAACCAATATCCTTAAATAACTATATATGGATGATGGATCTATATCTATGGATCAATATTGATCCACCGTGACTTTTACTTGTTTAAACCTATTGGTTATGCATTTTTTTTTTCAAATAAGTATGACTCAAGATAATAACATCTACTGTTTCTTGTATCACCAATTCACCATGGCATATGCATGTATTGTGTCATGATCTCACTAAATAAACTGATACTATATAAAAAAAATAAAAAATGAACTGTACTATATTACACAACTTTCAACACTATCGTAGAATACAAAATCGGCAATTTATGCATAAGATTACTCAAACAATTTTAGACAGCATACTGCAGATACCCAGGCCGTTTCATAGAAGATCGTGTGAACTTGTTTCAAATGTTGGGGACTAGATAGCACAATGTTTAAAAGTAGGACAAATTGGTGAATGTTTCCGAAGTTAAAGGGTGTTCTAACTGTCACTTTTAAGTTTTTTTAAATGCTTCGACTTTTTAATTTATTTATTTTCTAGTGTCTGAACACTTTGTCAAATCTTCTTCAAAAATCAACGCCTCTCTCTCTCTCTCTGCGCCTAACGTCGCTTACGGCCATACGCAATAGAAGACGAAAATTTTGAACAGAGAGCTTGTTCTCTCTATCTCTCTCTCTCTCTCTCTCAAACGCCAAATGATGCGTCTCGAATAGGGTTTTTTTTCTCCGTCGGATCTGATTGTAAATTGTGAAAATCTCAGATCACAGATCTCTTATCCAATCGTTGCGTGTCTTTGTTTCTCTCTGGTAATCATTGCTTCCGTCTTTTTGTACTGTAGACCTGTGAGGTCATGTTGATCTTCTTCTCCGTTTCTCTGATTGCAATTTTACTCTTCGAATTTCAGATTCCAAGGAAGTGAAACGAGTTGCTGCTGTGCTCTTCCGCTTTCATGTTTTGCGTTGAATCCGAATTCTCTCCACATTGTGAGTTTCCTTCGATTGCATCAGCGATTCTGTAGTTGGAATCGGACTTTCGATTAAAACCCATTTCGGTGACATATCGTGGGATTTTGATTTTGTTTGGATGAATAGTTGTTCTACAGATCTCCGAAGTTGGCTCCTCAAAGAAGATCGCAGCGCCACATGGGCGGCCAGATGCAGCAGAGCAATGCTGCGGCCGCGACGGCGCTATACGATGGGGGACCCACAAATGACGCAGGAGATGCTGTCATGGCTCGGTGGCTCCAATCCGCTGGCTTGCAGCATCTGGCGTCTCCTGTTCCTTCCACAGGCAATGATCAGCGTCTTCTCCCAAACCTTCTCATGCAGGTACTTACTTTCCGTGATTCTATACTCTTCCAGTAACTTGCATGCCTTTAGTTTTTCGGTTGTAGTCTACTCTAGGTAAAGTTCGAATTTAGGATTGTAACCCTGTTATGGATATTAGTCATAACGTATCTCAAGTAGAGCTTTGATTAGATGCTTGTTGCAGGGCTGTTAGTTATTTCTTCGATTGGGTGATTTCTTTGCTATAGAAACGTTGTGGCTCAGCTATTCTTTTTTGTATTTTTTTTTTGTGTGAACGGGGTACTGGTGTTTGCTGTATCTGCTAGGGTTATGGAGCGCAGACTGCTGAAGAGAAACAAAGACTGTTCAAACTAATGAGAAATCTGAACTTTAACGGGGAGTCGACTTCTGAATCATATACACCAACTGCTCAGACATCAGCAGCTATGCCCTCTTCGGAAGGATTTTTTGCTCCCGAGTTCAGAGGTGATTTTGGAGCTGGATTATTGGATCTTCATGCAATGGATGATACAGAGCTGCTATCTGAGGTACGTTTGGAAGAAGAACTAGTACACAGATTATCCATTGTAATGCCCATTAGTGCCCACAGAGAATAGAAAGATAATAGATTTTCACCATCAGATGGTCTGTTCTCGAGTTACGTCTCGGTTGTTAATACTGTTACTGCCAATCTTACATTGTCATATTGAGTCCCACCTAATCCATTAGCTTGGTGCGCATGCAGTCTATCTGCGAGACCTCGGTTAGACAACTTTTAATTGAGCGAGATATGACAGTTTTGGTCTTGTTGTCATTAGAAAAGCTTCTTGCGAAAATGCCCCTTGCATTTGTTAGTTAAAGAAAGTGATTACCCATGTGAAAGTTATCAATTCGTTGCTTTTATAATGTCATTTTCCTTTCATTTTGCAGCAAATGATTACCGAACCCTTTGAGCCGTCACCTTTCATGCCTAGTGTGAATAAAGAATTTGAAGAAGACTTTAATTTGCCCCCTAATCGTCAACAACGGCAACAAACAGATGCTGAATCTTTGGGTTCATTGCCTAAGAGTGAAAAAGAAAATAACAGTGTAGCTAAGATTAAAGTAGTGGTAAGGCATTCACTTGAGCACTAACCTGTTTCTTTACTGCTTGATTGTTCAAAAGCAGCATTCATTGTGGCTAGGAATCATTGGGAAACCGTTGTTTTTTGTCTTTAGGTAAGGAAAAGACCCCTCAATAAGAAAGAAACAGCTAGAAAAGAGGAAGATGTTGTGACGGTTTCTGATAATTCTTTGACTGTCCATGAGCCCAAGCTGAAGGTTTGTGTATATTCTTCATCGAAGATAACAACTGAACGATGGCATCCTGCTATTAAAGGTCATATATTTTTTTCATTCAATATTTTGTTTTCTGATGTTGATTGAATCGTAATCTTGTTGATGCAGGTGGATTTGACTGCTTATGTGGAAAGGCATGAGTTCTGCTTTGATGCTGTTCTTGATGAGGATGTTTCTAATGACGAGGTAATTCGATATTCAAACGTATTGGAGTCCATAGGAAATCTTGGCAGGAGTGCATGATGCAACCTTAAGCTATGATAGATATATTAGTTATGTCAAGATCGACATACCTTATTGACCTATAAACTAGACATGCAGTGTGGTTTCCCCACCCTTTTAGTCCAGATTGAATTGATGAATGGATACATTTAGCTTTGCAGAGTTTCCAAAGCTTTTTCTCTGCTTTGAAGTTGTTTGTTGTTCCTTTGAACAGGTGTATCGGGCCACAATTGAGCCGATAATTCCCATTATTTTCCAGAGAACTAAAGCCACATGCTTCGCATATGGTCAAACAGGTATGCAATGGCATTAGTGTTCACCGGGAAAGTATTAGATGATAATAGTTTCTTGCTTTCATGGCCTTGATGATGTTTTCGTTTATTCAGGTAGTGGTAAGACATTCACAATGAAACCACTGCCCATAAGAGCTGTTGAAGATCTTATGAGGTTGTTGCGTCAACCAGTATATATCAATCAGAGGTTTAAATTGTGGCTCAGCTATTTTGAGATATATGGTGGAAAGCTGTTTGATCTTCTCAGTGAGAGAAAGTTAGTGTTCTTTCTTTTACTTCATTTCTTTTTAAATGTCATTTTTGCTGAGAGGCTTTCTGTTTTCTTTTATTTTGGCATATACATTGATCGCGCATACTCTAGCTTATAAATGTTATTTTTGATGTCATTAAATTGTAAACATTGGCACTTTTTCATCATTTCAGTCTCCATATTTTCACTGCTGTCCACTATTGCAAATGCATGTTTTCGAGTTGTCTAAATCATTCAGTTATTGTCGAGTAGGAAACTTTGCATGCGAGAAGATGGTAGACAACAAGTTTGCATTGTCGGCCTGCAAGAGTATGAAGTGTCAGATGTTCAAATTGTAAAGGATTTTATTGAGAAAGGCAATGCTGAAAGGAGCACAGGGTCAACTGGGGCAAATGAGGAATCTTCTAGATCACATGCTATCTTACAGCTTGTTGTAAAGAAGCATGTTGAGGTAAAAGAAACAAGACGTAACAACAACAATGATGCCAATGAACTGCGTGGGAAAGTTGTTGGGAAGATTTCTTTCATTGACCTTGCTGGCAGTGAAAGAGGTGCAGACACCACAGACAATGACCGCCAGACAAGGTAAGGATGCTTTATGCCTCCTTTTGGACTTGTGTGAATTGATGGTGTTGGTACTATGTTGCTACCATTTTACTTTAGGACCACCACTACTCTCTTGATCTAAAATCTTAGTTTTATCGGTGGATATTTTTGCCTAGGATTGAAGGCGCAGAAATCAACAAGAGTCTCTTGGCTCTTAAGGAATGTATACGCGCACTGGACAATGACCAGCTACATATACCATTTCGTGGAAGCAAACTAACCGAAGTGCTCCGAGACTCGTTTGTTGGAAACTCAAGAACGGTGATGATTTCTTGCATCTCTCCAAATGCAGGATCGTGTGAACATACCCTTAATACCTTAAGATATGCTGATCGGTATGTTTTTGTACAAATTATAACCTCCGTTGAAACAAATTCTCAGCTTTCATCTTTTCTTAACCTCTTGGTTATTTACCGAATGAACAGGGTCAAAAGTCTATCTAAAAGTGGAAATAGCAAGAAGGATCAAACCGCCAATACAATGCCTCCGGTTACTAAGGACGCTTTCTTGAGCTCAAATGACGTAGAAGACGTCTTCGAGCCTCCACAGGAAGTGAATGTGCAGGAAACTGGGAGGAGGGTGGAGAAAGAAAGCTACACTAGTTCGAGTACTGACTTCAGACAGCCTACAAATTATCGAGAGGAAAGTGGAATCCCATCAATCTCAATGGACAGGGGAAGATCAGAGACGAACAATTCTTTCGGTGGCTCCACTAGTCAGAGGAGCCACTTGTCTTCATATCCCCAAGAAACTTCAGACCGTGAAGAGAAAGTGAAGAAAGTGTCACCACCTCGTGGGAAAGGGCTGCGGGAAGAAAAATCAGATAGACAACAGAACTTGTCTAAAAGAGATGTCAGGTCATCCGATATTCCTACCCTGACAAACTTTAGACAGAACTCAAGTGAAGCTGCTGCTTCAAGGCAGTACGAAACCGACCCTTCGCTTGATGACAACATTGATGCACTGCTTGAGGTAAAATGCTCACTTAATCCTCTTACACAATAAGAAAAACCTGTGAAAAAATTGATTTAATGGAAGATGATTTGTAACCACCGCATGATTTGTAAGATGATTTGCAAGTTATCATATCTTATCAGTAACCACCGCATGATTTTTTCAGGAAGAAGAAGCTCTGATTGCAGCACACAGAAAAGAAATCGAGGATACAATGGATATTGTTCGCGAGGTAAGTAAAAGTAAACATACCTCAATGAATACACGATTGTAGATTATAAATCGCCTCGTTAAATTTTGTTTTTGGTTTTGTTATTAATCAGGAAATGAAACTTTTAGCGGAGGTGGACCAACCAGGAAGCATGATAGAGAACTATGTGACGCAACTGAGCTTTGTGTTGTCCCGTAAAGCAGCAGGGCTTGTGAGTCTTCAAGCCAGGCTTGCTCGGTTCCAACACCGTCTCAAGGAACAAGAGATACTGAGCCGTAAGAGAGTTCCTCGGTAGTCGTTGGAAGAAGTAAACCAAAGACGGACTTTTGTGTGTTGTTGTCAAGTGTGAAAGTTGCTTTGGACGCAAATGGGTGAAGAAGAAGAGAGTGAAGTTTTTTTTAGCTTCATTCAAGATGTAGTTCTCTCTTCTTGTTACATAGAATGACAGAAATGTCCTTGTTTGTGAATTTGGGCATTTATTTCCCTTTTTTTCATATCTTGATTATAAAATTATATACCTTTTGTGTTTCCTATTTCTCTACCCTCCCAAAAAGTGGATACACACACCCAATGTGAATCAAGCTCTACTCTGGATCAACTGATAAGAATATAACCATTTATCATGTGAAAATATTTTATATGTAACCAGAGTTTATTTTAGTAAAGCTCAAGCTGAATTATAAATCACATTTCTGATAACCAATAAGATCTTTCGTTCTTTGCTACCTACCGTCTGTCAGCTGACAACACGGTGGAAAATGACAGGTGAATAGCTCCAAAGAAGCACAACAAGGATCTCTCCTGTCGTGAACGTAAAAAGGCCGACATGAATTTGCAGCCCAACTAAAAGGCCTTGGCCCACAACACGTTTGTCACGTGCCATGCCTTTTTTCACGATTTGCATAACAGAACCGATTTTCCAACCGTCCGATGCTTAAACCCAAACCGATATCCACCGTCCATTAAAAGTCTCTTATCTTCCTCCTTCCCGTCGTAGTCGCTCTGTCGCAGGCGAGTAAAAGGCGAAAAATAAAGCGCATGAAAGGATTTTTCAGACTTTTGCCTTCTCTCTCTCTCTTTTTCACCAGGTGAGATTTCCGCCATTGCTGCTCTCTGTCTATAATTGTAGTCTCTTTTGCAGTTTCATTTTCATTAGTTTCTTCATGTAATTTTTCTGGATTTCCTAAGACCGTGTATATACCTGCGATTCTGAGATATTTTTCACTACTGTTGAATTTAGTGTTGGATTGGAAAGTAACGAGGATCCTAGGATCAGTGGCGATAATTCCGAACCTAGGATTATACTTTTCTGCTCTATTCTGATTGTTATGGAGTAAAAGTATTTTTGTTTGATTGGTGCAGTGGTTCGTGATTTAGTTTTGTTTATGATTTTGGGAGGTTTTGTAGCTGCGGTGATCTAGAAAATGGGAGATGCGAATGAGATTTTGAAAAGGTCAGATAAGGAAGAAAAGATAGTTGCAGAGGATAGAATCAGCGATGAGCAAGTAGAGAAAAATGAGTTGGTGGGATCTTCTGATGAAGCGAAGGATAACGAAGAAGAGGCCTTTGAGGAATCAATTTGTTCAGTGGAGGGACCTAAACCTCAATCTTTTGAAGCTGATGATCTAACTTTAGAGGCAACTCCTGAAAACTCCAAGGGAGTACAAGATTTTAGGGCTGATCATTTGGTGGTTGGAGAGAGCCATGATGAGGTAACCGTGAAACATAAAAGTATAACTACGGGAGAGGCTGCAGAAATTTCTTATGGTCAAATTGAATCAAGCTTGGATGTGGCTGAGAACAGTGAGATAGCTACTTCCAGTTTAGCAGCTGAGGATGTAAATATGGAAACCGGAAATACACATTCTTTTTCGGAGAATGGATACGTCTCTCCTGAGAATAAAGAGCTAGTGGCTGAAGTTATCTCAGTAAGTGCCCGGTCCGAGAATGGATTGGTATGTTTAGAAAATGAGAAGTTCTTGAATGATAGTATTAAAGAAGCAGCACGTGCTGGGACCTCATCTCCATTGGAGAAATCTAGTTTCGAGGCAAAAGAAGAGACTGAACATGAGACGGTTCAAAATAGTAATGGAGGACATGATGTTCAACAGAGTCCACAGCTTAATAAGGAACTTGAGAAGCAGCTAGACAGCAAAGCAAATATAGGTCCAGAGATTAAGGAGAGCGCACATGTGGAAAGAGAATTCGAGGTATTAAGTTCTGTTTCATCAACAGAGTCTACAAGTAATGCTGCAGCATTACCACCTGCTCGCCCGGCAGGTCTTGGACGTGCTGGTCCTCTTTTGGAACCGGTACAACGTGTTCCTCAACAGCCTCGTGTCAATGGCAATTTGTCTCACAATCAGCCTCAGCAAGCTGAGGAATCCACCACTTCGGAGACCGATGAGCATGATGAGACCCGGGAAAAGCTCCAGTTGATCAGGGTCAAGTTTTTGAGGCTTACACATAGACTAGGGCAGACTCCACATAATGTTGTTGTTTCTCAGGTTTTGTACAGGCTTGGATTGGCTGAACAGTTGAGGGGCAGAAACGGAAGCCGTGTTGGTGCCTTTAGTTTTGATCGTGCCAGTGCCATGGCTGAACAGCTGGAGGCAACTGGACAGGACCCACTTGATTTTTCTTGTACGATTATGGTGCTCGGTAAAAGTGGGGTTGGTAAAAGTGCAACGATCAATTCTATCTTTGAAGAAGTGAAAATTTGTACTGATGCATTCGAGATGGGTGCAAAGAAGGTTCGAGATGTTGAGGGTTTTGTTCAGGGAATTAAGGTACGGGTGATTGACACTCCCGGTCTCTTACCGTCCTGGTCTGATCAAGCCAAGAATGAGAAGATCCTGAATTCTGTTAAGGCCTTCATCAAGAAAAGTCCACCTGACATTGTGCTATATCTTGATAGGTTGGATATGCAAAGTAGAGATTCTGGTGACATGCCTCTATTGCGCACCATCAGTGATGTTTTTGGACCATCAATATGGTTTAATGCTATTGTGGGATTGACTCATGCTGCTTCCGTTCCACCAGATGGTCCTAATGGCACTGCTTCTAGCTATGACATGTTTGTAACACAGCGTTCCCATGTCATCCAACAGGCCATTCGCCAAGCAGCTGGAGATATGAGGCTCATGAACCCTATTTCTTTAGTTGAGAATCACTCTGCGTGCAGGACTAATCGGGCAGGCCAGAGAGTATTACCGAATGGCCAAGTGTGGAAGCCTCATTTGCTGTTACTCTCATTTGCATCTAAGATCCTGGCAGAGGCAAATGCTCTTCTTAAGTTACAAGATAATAATACTCCAGGGAGACCATTTGTTGCTCGGTCCAAGGCTCCTCCATTACCATTTCTCCTTTCGACGCTTCTGCAATCAAGACCACAGCCAAAGCTTCCTGACCAGCAGTATGGTGATGAAGATGATGAAGACGGTTTCGATGAATCATCAGAGTCTGACGAAGAATCAGAGCATGACCAGCTTCCTCCGTTTAAGCGGTTGACTAAAGCTGAGATGGCTAAGCTTAGTAAATCTCAGAAGAAACAATATCTCGACGAGATGGATCATCGAGAGAAGCTATTCATGAAGAGGCAGATGAAAGAGGAAAGAAAGAGACGTAAGATGTTGAAGAAACTTGCTGCCGAGATCAAAGATCTGCCTAATGGGCATAGTGAAAATGTGGAAGAGGAGAGAAGTGAACCTGCTTCTGTTCCAGTTCCCATGCCAGATTTATCTCTACCTTCATCTTTTGACTCTGACAATCCGACTCACCGTTACCGGTCCCTTGATTCCTCCAATCAATGGCTTGTTAGGCCAGTCCTGGAAACTCAAGGGTGGGATCACGATGTTGGCTACGAAGGCGTGAATGCGGAACGGCTTTTTGTCGTTAAAGAGAAAATCCCGGTAACTTTCTCAGGCCAAGTGACAAAAGACAAGAAAGATGCAAATGTGCAGCTGGAAATGGCCAGCTCGGTTAAACATGGAGAAGGCAGATCAACCTCCTTAGGTTTCGAGATGCAAAACGCTGGAAAAGAATTGGCTTACACTCTTCGAAGTGAAACGAGGTTTAACAGTTTCAGGAAGAACAAAGCTGCAGCTGGTCTCTCTGTAACGGTCTTGGGGGATTCGGTCTCTGCGGGGCTGAAATTCGAAGATAAACTGATCGCTAACAAACGGTTCAGAGTGGTAATGTCTGGTGGGGCGATGACTAGTAGGGGAGATGTTGCTTACGGTGGTAGTTTAGAAGCTCAGCTGAGAGATAGAGATTACCCGCTTGGTAGGTGTTTGTCAAGTCTTGGACTCTCTGTGATGGATTGGCATGGCGATCTTGCTATGGGAGGGAATATACAGTCTCAGTTGCCTATTGGACGTTCCTCTAATGTAGTTGCTCGTGCTAGTCTGAACAACAGAGGGACAGGGCAAGTAAGCATCCGCGTAAACAGCTCTGAGCAGCTCCAGCTTGCTATTGTTGCTCTTGTTCCTCTGTTCAAGAAGCTGCTTGGTTATTGTTCCACCCAGCAAATGCAGTATTGACAGTAACATTTAGGTTTTGATTCACTTCCTACAGCTGAGTTAAAAAGGTACTAATCTGCTTTTGATTGCTGATTTAGATATTTCCATTTACTGTAGAACCCGACTCTATTGATGGACTGTTGATGTGGCTTTTGGTTTTTTGAGTTACCTGAACATTTTGTTCAGTATTAACTCGAGTGTCAATGTCTGTGATTTAGGTATCCAGCTCTTTGCAATGGCTTGAGGCATCAGCGAGGCCAACCCCAATTAATGTATGGCTTTTTGGCTATAGATTCTCCTAATTCAATCCAAAATCCTTAATTTATGGACTCGTTCCTTTGCTAAACTGGTTGTCAATGGGAAAATTATAATCTTGGCCTAAGTGAAAGTTGATTTTGAGTAGTTCATAATCTGTATTTATTATTTGTGAAGTGAATTTGGAGAACATAGATCTCTTTTTCACTCTCCGATTTCAAAAGTACAAAAATGCCATTCATGAAATATTGAATTTGATTATTTACATCTCTTGCTATATTTTCTTGAGCCGCAAGATTCTCTAGAGAAATCCTATTTACTTGAGGTCATCACATTCTCGCCGCTTCGAGAAAGATTTAACGAGGAAAAAGAGTTGTATTAAGGAAAAATTAAAGGATCTACTTTTAATAGTTTCTTATGTTTTCATTTCTTCAATCCTGTTTTAAATTTGATGACGACTCTCTATCAATTTCTTTAAGTTGTTTTGTCATTTTGTAACAAGTTTAGGTTCAATATCTCCAGCTGATTACAATTAGCTCACAATTCACAAGTCAAATCATGTGTTGAAGAATGTGTTAGTTCCTCACTGCTCGCATTTTAAAAATATGTACTCCAGTGCAATCCATTGACCCGCCAAGTTACTTCATCGACCATTACTCTATATTGCAAAGGGAGATGAGTTTTTTCGATATTATAAGTAGAATCTATATGTTTGATTATCAGCCTCGTCATCGTACCTATTTCCCTAGTTTGATCGAAGTTCCTTTATACCAAAAAGAAGGCTAAGAAATCCATGTTTTCTTTTTCATATATTTTTGCATATTTTTTGCATATGTTTTGCATATTTTGTGACATATTTTTTCTTGAAAGTTATCCTAAATTTGAAGAAATGTCCGCCTATGGAGATAAGTTGACTCCCAAAAGTGGCCGTGAAAACCTAGCAGCTGTGCTCAACGAAATTCCTTCCCATAAGGTCTCCCAAGGACAGGAGAGCTTCTCCCCTGTGACGTTTTAAAGGCGAGACTGGTGACTTTTGGCCTCACCTCATCATCCTAGGTTCCGGAGAATGAGACATTGTACTCCGTTGGCCAATTAACGTCAAACCTCATAGGATCCTGATTTACATCAGCACAAAAACATACATTTTGTTCCTTACAACACAAGCAAGCGGTTTATGATTTTTTTTTGTTAAAGTTCAAGAGTTTTTTGTACGAGTTTTAATTTTTTTCCTTGTTCTGATAGACAAAAACGAGAACAAAAAAGAAGGCGAAGAAATCCAAGTTTTATAATTTGTATTTTTTTCTTTGTTTTTAATTTGTTTGGTTGTTTTGGAAAGCTAAATGATCGGGTTTTGGTCTTGATAATTTTCTCAAGTAAAAAAACAACCTTTTATCTGTCCTGTTTCCCATACTCTATGATACAATGTATTAATTCCCGATTTGATTCGTTATGCAACCCCATAATAATCACTATATTTCTTAATTAAAGTATTATATTTTTGGAATCTGATTATCATCTATTTGACAAAACAATTTTTTCGAAGTAGATATAGTTGCTCTACGGTATCAGATTTTTGCCTCAGCTAAACGTGTGACAACCAATCACGTGGCTAAGCTATAAATGAAGAAACCATATTTTTGCAAAATTGTAACACAGGTGTTAACTATGATAAGCATGTGCGTGAAAGTTTGGGGGATTTCTTTGCGTTCATGATGCTTAATGAGATTAAACAAGTCTCAAAATATTCGTTGTTATTCCTAATTGTTTATGCATGAAGTTTATGGGTAAGCCATCTTTAACATGACAGATTGACAGTAAACAAACAGTAGTTTAGTTTTTCTTGACTTCTTGTTTAGTCGTAGATAACCTTTTTTTTTACAAAAGGAGAAAAGTCTCTAGGTTCCTTCATTTTCCATTTTTTATCCATTTTTTTTTGTTTCCTTTCCTTTTCTTTTTCCCTTTTTTTTCTTTTCTTTCCTTTAAAAATAAAGAGTGAATTTGTTGTATGGCAATTTTCTTTTCTTTTCTTTAAGTAACTAGCAAAAGGGTACCCAAGTATAGCTGCTGAAACCGTATACACGCGCGTAGGAGAGAGTGGGGAAACTGTGCATTGACTTGCATGGATAGACATTTAATGCTTTTTCTTCACATTAATTGATTTCCTTTATTAAATTAATAAAATAACACATACAAATAAATAAATTATGAAAAAATTGCAGTGATTTAAATATTTCGATAGATATAAAATTAAAGATTTAAATTTACAAATGTACAGATAACTACACAAATATATATAACATATAACATATGTAACTACATTATGTTAACATGTAATAAAAATACATAACAAGTTATTTAATAATGTACACCTATATTTGTATGTACGTATAAAGTTTCATAGACATGTATAATAATATATAACCATGCAATCAATATGTTAACTTGTAATGAAAAATATACCGTGTTATTTAGTCAATATTTACATGTACATTCACACATAACATGCTACTAATATACATATATATTGATACGCTGATAAAAAAAAATGTATATACAATTTTATATTTATAATTGAGCCCCACTAATTGAGTAACTCACTTGTAATGCTTCCTCCATCACCATCACACCATGGCCTCCACCTTATAACCAGATCGGGATTTGGATTATTGTCACCCATTCATCACGAGTCTGACTTGGCTCTCTCGTCGAAAGTTGTGAACTTGGGTATCAATCTGTTTTCCGGTCAGGCTCCTCCGCCGTCGAGACCGCTTTATCACGGTGTTTGATTCATCTCTCTCTTTTCCTCTTGTCATCCAGATCTGGTTACTGGAAACAGAAGCAAAAATTAAAAAAACATTAATTTGAAATCAAGAAAAAGAGAGGAAGGAGGAGCACGGAGAAAGAGTTCATGGCGGAGGAAGAACGAGAAAAATGGGGGAGGAAGAAGAAGAAGATTGAAAAAGAGAGCAGGGAGAGAAATGATGAAAGAGGAAAGAGAAATCCATTTTCAATGCAGTGGTCAGATCAATTAAATGCTTCTGTACGCGAGTAAGGTTATTTTAGAGAAAAGGTGTGGCGAAATACGGTGTATTATACGACAATAATACAGTCTTGTTGAAAAACTAATTTCACCCAAAATACTTGCTCCTGGATGCAAATACTCAAAAATAAATAGATAATACATAAATAAAACAAAAACCTTAGTACTCGGGCCAACCGACTTAGTAGTTTTAGCCCCAAGTATTTATTCGTTTAAAGCCCATTCTTGCTACTACTCATACAAATAGAAACTTTAATTTGCTTCTCGTTTTAAAATTTTATTCCGTGAGATCTCGTCTCTTCCTCCTTCTCTGTCGAAAACGAAACCCTAACAAAAAAAGGGATCTCTTCTTCTCAGAATCGTCTCATCTTTCTACTAACTACATCGATCCAACAATTTCCGATTATTTCGAATCTCTCTTTACTCTGTTCTTGTTCGTTTAGGGCTAATTCGTTTCCTTAGAAACCCTAGACTCCGATTCCGACAACATTAGGTGTTTTTTTTTGCGATGGATTATCCTGTTTACATTAGTAGTGATGATGATGATGATGACGTAAAAGACGTCAAACCCATCATCAAACCCATCATCAAGCAAGATGTTTACATTAGTTTAGGTAGTGATGATGATGATGACGACGAAGTAAAAGACGTCAAACCCATCATCAAACAAGATGTTTACATTAGTTCAGGGAGTGATGACGATGATGATGATGTACCCATGATGCAACAAGGTATTTACATTAGTTCAGGGAGTGACGATGATGATGATGATGATGTGCCCATGACGCAACAAGGTGGTTACATTAGTTCAGGTAGTGATGATGATGATGATGATGAAGTACCCATCACGCAACAAGATGGGACCAACATTCATGATGAGAGGCTTATCTATCAAGCTGCATTACAAGTATATAATCTCTTTAATAGACTTCAACACTACTTATTAGCTCTCTCTTTTTTTGTGGTTTTTGCATTTAGAACTAACCTGATATTAAACTTTATGTTAATTACAGGATCTGAATCAACCCAAGACAGAAAGAGATTTACCTCCTGGTGTTCTTACAGTTCCTCTTATGAGGCATCAGGTTAATAATCATGTTTTAACCTAACTCGTTAAAGTCCTTTCTTCGTAATTTTGGTCTATGTACTAAATTCTTGTTGTCTTTTAGAAAATTGCGTTGGAATGGATGTATCAAAAAGAACAAAGAACTTTGAAGAATTGTTTGGGAGGGATGTTAGCAGATGATCAGGTTACATTTAAATTTATTTCCCAAAATATAGATATTTAATTTTCTCCCAAATCTATAACGTGTGAACGACTGAACGTTATGCTAATCATGCAGGGACTTGGTAAAACAATCTCAACGATTGCTCTTATCCTGTTGCAAAAGTTGAATTCACCAAAGCTCGAAAAGGGAAGAAGTCGAAGATCTGGTGGTACGTTGATTGTTTGTCCATCAAGTATTGCAAAGCAATGGGCAAAAGAAATTCACGACAAGGTTTCTCCTAAACACAAGCTCTCCGTTCTAGTCTACCATGGAGCCAACAGAACCAGAGATCCTCTCGAGCTAGCAAAATACGATGTTTTCGTGACAACTTACGCGCTTGTTACAAACGAAGTCCCCAAAAACAACGGTAATAGTGATACTAAGAAGAAAGATGGAAAAAGAATTCGAAAAAGACTTGCTGGTGCACTATCTAGAGTTAAGTGGTTGAGAGTTGTGTTAGATGAAGCTCAGATGATCAAGAACTATACGACACAAGTTGCTCAGAGTTGTTCTAATCTTGAAGCCAAAATGAGATGGTGTTTGTCTGGAACACCGATACAGAACAAGATCGAGGATCTTTACAGCTACTTCAAGTTTCTTAGATATCATCGTACGCTGACTACAGTTCGTTTCGCCGAAGAATCTCTACACCAATTGATGAGGATCATGTAAGAGGTTACAAGAAGCTTCAAGCTATTCTTAGAGCTATCTTGCTCCGACGTACCAAAGGTATTATTCATTTTCTCCTACTATACACATACAAAGCATTGTGCTATTTTAGAAACATTATTTTGTGCCATTAATGTCTAATGAATGATGTTTATAATATTGTGCTATTCAGGAACATTACTTGATGGGCAACCTATACTTAAGCTACCTCCAAAGAATGTTAGTTTGACTAAGATGGACTTTACACCAGACGAGTTGTTTTTCTACAAGGAGCTTGAAGCAAGTTCGCGAGAGGAGTTCAAGGTGAGTCTCCTCAAAGTTTTATAAGTTTAAACAAGCAACTTGATCTTCCTTGTGAGATGATCATGATATTAATCATTTTCCATTCTTTAATGTGTATATATAGGCCTTTTCTGCTGCGGGGACTGTGCAAGATAACTATGTCTATATTCTTGTGTTGCTTTTGCGACTACGCCAAGCTTGTGACCATCCACAACTTGTTAAGCTATGCAAGCAACCTGGAAATGCTCCTGTAATTCCTTCTCTTGAGGCTGTGTTGGCAAGCGACTTTAAGTCAACGAAAATCAAAGCCGTGATGAAGACTCTTACGTCGCTTACAAAGCAAGGCAGGCCAAACTCTTTACCAGTAAAGAAAGAGGAGCAAGGCAGTCCAAAGGCTTTACCAATAAAGACATTAGTGTTCTCTCAGTGGACTAGTATGCTTAATTTGCTTGAGACTCATCTCGTCAAAAACGGTTTAACTTTCAGAAGACTAGATGGCACAATGTCTCTACTAACAAGAGACATAGCTGTAAAAGAATTCAACAATGATCCTAGCGTAAGTGTTCCACGTCCAGTTACATGTTTTCTTCGAAATACTTTTATACCAAGTTTTAATAATAATAATGTTTTGAACAGGTGCAAGTGATGCTAATGTCTCTTAAAGCTGGAAACCTTGGATTGAACATGGTATCTGCATGTCATGTGATTATGTTGGATCTTTGGTGGAATCCGACAACGGAAGATCAAGCCATTGATCGAGCTCATCGTATTGGACAAACTCGGGCTGTTACTGTGACTCGTATAACTATCAACGACACAGTTGAGGAACGGATATTGACTCTGCAGGTATTAATTTCTTTGTTCCAATGCAACATTTATTTATAGTAACATTCCTCTATTCAATTGTGTGATAATATTTGTCTTTCTCTTATATTATTATCAGGAGAAAAAAAGAGAATTGGTTGCATCTGCATTGGGTGAAGATCCTGGTGAACTATCTGCGACTCGACTAACAGTACAAGATCTCCATTATCTATTTGGCGTGTAGAGTTTTCCATCAGAAATTAAACAAACAAAAAACCTTTTTTTTTAAAGTCGCAATGTGAATGTAACTTGTGCTATTTTCACACGTTCGTTACATTTTTCTGTGTTATGCAAAGGCTAAATAAATTTTAAAGCTTTTGTTGCCTTGCGTCTACATTGTGAAATAGGTTCAAAAATTCGTTGCTTTATGGATCACAAAGTTTTATAAAAACATGCTTAAAATAAAAATTTGGTAACCAAAGTGTTTTTTTACACAAAAGCAAAGACAGAGAGAGACAAAAACAGAGGATAGTAGCTGTGAGTGTGACTATTAAATCTTCACTCTCAGCCAAAGCAATGCAAACTTTAAAATCCATACTTTCAATGTTACTACTCTCAGCAAAAGCAATGCAAACTTAAAAATCCATACTTTCAATGTTACTGAGCCTTCTTGAAACATGTATTCGATCACGGAATCTGATCCTAGGGCAGATCATTCACCAACACCTTCTCAAACGCTCCTTTACGCTGTCTTCCTCTTCCGTGCTCGTCAGTTTAACGCGTCTCTACGCATCATGCAACCAAGTGGAACTCGCACGCAATGTGTTCGACGAAATTCCTCACCCAAGGACCAATCCTATTGCCTGGGACGTGATGATCAGAGCCTACGTATCGAACGATTTCTCGGAGAAAGCCTTGGATTTGTACTACAAGATGCTTGATTCCGGTGTCAGACCCACGAAATTTACGTACCCGTTCGCGTTGAAAGCATGCGCTGTTCTGCGAGCAATCGAGGATGGTAAGCTGATACATAGCCATGTGAAAGGTAGAGACTTTATCCGTGATATGTATGTCTCTACTGCGCTGGTTGATCTCTATGCTAAATGTGGTGATATCGATATGGCGATACAGGTGTTCGACGAAATGCCTGAAAGAGATGTTGTTTCATGGAACGCTATGATTTCTGGGTTTTCTTTGCATTGCTGTTTAAACGACGTCGTTGGATTGGTTTTGGATATGCGTGTAAGAGATGGGCTGAGTCCTAATTTCTCCACCATTGTTGGAATGTTTCCTGCACTGGGAAGAGCTGGTGCGTTGAGGGAAGGGAAGTCCTTTCATGGGTATTGCACAAGAATGGGTTTTAGTTTTAGCAATGATTTGGTTTTCAAGACAGGGATGTTGGATGTATATGCCAAGAGCAAGTGCATTGTCTATGCGAGAAGAGTCTTCGATTCGGTTTCTATGAAGAATGAGGTGACCTGGAGTGCTATGATTGGAGGCTACGTAGAGAATGATATGATAAAGGAAGCTGGAGAAGTGTTCTTGAAGATGTTGGTTGATGAAAACGTGGCAACGGTGACGCCAGTGGCCGTTGGGCTTATTCTGATGGGATGTGCGAGGTTTGGAGATGTTAATGGAGGTCGGTGCGTGCATTGCTATTCGATTAAAGCAGGCTTCGTCTTGGACTTAACCGTTGGAAACACTGTGGTTTCATTCTACGCCAAGTGTGGAAGCTTATGTGATGCTTTTAGGCAGTTTAGTGAGATTGGCTTGAAAGATATTGTTTCATATAACTCTCTCATCTCTGGGTGTGTGGAGAACTGTTGCGCTAGAGAGAGTTTACGTCTGTTTCATGATATGAAATCTTCCGGAGTTCGTCCAGATGTAACAACATTGGTTGGTGTTTTAACCGCTTGCTCTGATTTGGCTGCTTTGGGACACGGTTCTGGTTGTCACGGGTATTGTGTTGTTCATGGCTATGCAGTGAATACAACCATTTGTAACGCACTGATTGATATGTACACGAAGTGTGGAAAGCTTGATGTTGCCAAGAGAGTTTTCGACACGATGCGTAAGCGGGATATAGTTTCTTGGAACACAATGATGTTTGGATTTGGAACTCATGGGCTTGGCAAAGAAGCTCTTTCTCTGTTCGACAGCATGCAGAATGCATGTGTGAAGCCAGACGAGGTGACTTTGCTTGCTCTTTTGTCTGCTTGTAGCCATTCAGGGCTCGTGGATGAAGGGAAACAAGTGTTTAGCTCCATGGCTCTTGGAGATTTCAACATCACTCCAAGAATAGACCATTATAATTGCATGGCTGATCTCCTAGCCCGTGCCGGTTACTTGGATGAAGCTTATGAGTTTGTCAAGAAGATGCCGTTTGAGCCAGACGTTAACGTGTTGGGGACACTCCTCTCTGCTTGTTGGACTTGCAAGAATGTGAAACTTGGGGATGAAGTGGCTAAAAAGATGCAGAGTCTTGGAGGGAAATCAGAAAGCTTAATTCTTCTGTCCAATACATATTCAGCTGCTGAGAGATGGGAAGATGCAGCGAATATTAGAATGAGACAGAAGAAAGTAGGGCTTCACAAGACCCCTGGTTATAGCAGGGTCGATGTGTGATTAATAAAGTAGTTTTGGAGTGTTCTTGGAAGTCTGGCATTGTCACAAATTGGTAGAAGGAGATATTGTTGCAGGTGAGAGAGATCAACAAAGGGAAGGAAGAGAGAAACATGTTGGTTTATGTCCAAAATAGCAGACGCAGGCTTCAGTATGTAACAAGACATGGCCAAGTGTCATGACATGAGTGTTATCAAGCTCAACTTTTGATTGGTCGCTTAAGCACAGATCGAATTCAGACTTGAAAACCCTAACTATGGGGAAATTGAGGAGCCATAAGGGTATGAAATTCGGGTTTTGTTGGGGAAGAAGACATGAAGATAACAGAGAAGAGGAGAGGAGATGGAGAGGCAAAGAGAAGTTGAAAAGATTTGCTTACTCTGTTTTCAGCTTTCACCCTAATAATCAATCACAGCCGTTAAAAAGAAGTATAGTCATCTCTTGAGATTTGATAAAGACCGTTGGATTATTGGGCCAAGCTACTTAATAGAATAAAGCCCTTTCTTGATACTACTATATATATAGAAAGTGTTGCTGGATGTTGCTTGTTTAAAACTAATTCCGTGCGATCGTCTCTCTCTCGCCGTCAAAACCAAAGCCCTAAGCTACAGACTAGAGTAATATCTCGAACTCTGTTTACCCTGTTCTTGTTCTGCCTCTTTGGATAAAGTTTCCAATTTAGGAGTAAAAAAGGGTTTTTCAGTTGATAGCAACGTCTTGTGGTGGCAGGGCTGATTCGTTGTCTTAGAAACCTAAGATTTTGATTCTGACTTGAGAGATCTTATTATGATGGATTCTGCTGTTGACCATAACAATAGTTCAGGTAGTGATGAAGAAGCTAAAGATGACAAAGGGTCCACCGTTAACGAGAGGGTGATCTATCAGGCTGCATTACAAGTAATATATCTCAACATGCTATTTGGACTTCAATAAATTAAAATAGCTCTTCTTTTGTAAAGTTTGCATTCAAAATCCTCTTAGTGTTGTTCCACTAATCAACCTGAATATTTTTAATTAAATACAGGATCTGAAGCAACCCAAGACAGAGAAGGATTTACCTCCTGGTGTTCTTTCTGTTCCTCTTATGAGGCATCAAGTATATATTAATTATCATCTTTTGACTTTAAATTTTCATTGTCCTTACTTTGTATATTTTGTACTAAAAGCTTAGTTTTGTTGTTGTTTCCCTCAGAAAATTGCATTGGAATGGATGCGTAAGAAGGAAAAAGGAAAGTTGCACTGTTTGGGAGGGATATTAGCAGATGATCAGGTCACTTTTAATTTATAATAATATATAAAGTTTTTAGTTTGGTGAGGCGTTAATTATTTTTCTCACAAATTATGTGTATGGTATACTAATGCAGGGACTTGGTAAAACAATCTCGACGATTGCTCTTATCCTATTCCAGAAGCTTAAGTCACAAGCAAAGCACAGAAAGCCAAGAAGTCGAAAATCTGGTGGTACATTAATTGTTTGTCCAGCGAGTGTTGTAAAGCAATGGGCAAGAGAGCTTGATGAGAAAGTCTCCGACGAACACAAGCTCTCTGTTTTAGTGTACCATGGATCCAACAGAACCAAAGACCCTACTGAACTAGCAAAACATGATGTGGTCGTGACAACTTACGCCATTGTCACAAACGAAGTCCCCCAAAATTCTCTGCTCAATTTCTATGATGAGATGAGCAGGAAGAGAGGTAGAGAAAGCGATGGAAGAAGCTGTGAATCTGGTCCACTAGCAAGAGTTAAGTGGCTGAGAGTAGTATTGGACGAAGCTCAGACGATAAAGAACCGTAAAACACAAGTTGCAAAAGCATGTTTTAGTCTTAGAGCCAAGAGGAGATGGTGTTTGTCTGGAACACCGATACAGAACAAGATCGACGATCTTTATAGCTATTTTAGGTTTCTTAGATATCATCCATATGCAATGCACACTTCATTTTGCCGAACAATCAAGGGTCCACTTTCTAAGAATTCTCTTAATGGTTACAAGAAGCTTCAAGCTGTTCTAAGAGGCATAATGCTGCGCCGCACCAAAGGTACTAATTATTAATTAATCATCACTTCCTCCTTGGCTACTAATATATGTATATAACCTTTTTGTGGTTTTGCTAATTAATGTTTTGCTGTTTAGGGACATTACTTGATGGGAAACCTATAATTAATCTACCTCCAAAGGAAGTTAATTTGAGCAAAGTGGACTTTTCAGTAGAGGAATGGTCTTTCTACAGGAAGCTTGAAGTACTTTCACAATTGGAGTTCGAGGTAATTCTCCAAAAAAATTATCAGTTTATATATGAATAAAATGTGACATTGTACCTTGACTTATGATATTTGAAATGTTCTCTTATTCTACAGAAATATGCTGCTGAAGGGAGTTTATTCGAAAACTATGCTCGTATTCTTGTGATGCTTTTGCGGCTACGTCAAGCTTGTAACCATCCACAACTTCTCAGAGAATATACAGACTCTGATGGTTTTAGAGGTTTAACGAAAGAAGCAGTTAGAAACGTACCTAGAGAGTCTCTAATCAGACTCTTGGATCTCTTGAAATCATCCTCTACCATCTGCTCTGCTTGCAGCGCAAGTAAACCAGAAGACCCTGTTGTTACACTGTGTGGCCACGTGTTTTGCTTCGAGTGTGTCTCTGAAAATGTAAACGGGGATGAGAAAACTTGCCCTGTGTCGACATGCAGAGCAGAGCTTGCACCTTATTCTGTTTTCTCTGAGTCTAAACTCAGAAGCTGCATCAAAGATTATGATGATCATTATGGTAAAAACGCTCTTAGGGTTATGCTGCAAAGCGAGTTTGTTTCGTCGAAAACCAAAGCTGTGATGGATATTCTTCAGTCGCATTCAGAACAAGACAGTCTAGAAGAATCTCCAGGAATAAAGACAATAGTGTTCTCTCAGTGGAATGGTATGCTTGACTTGGTTGAGCATTGTTTTTTCGAAAACGGTATCAATTTCAGAAGATTAGATGGAACAATGTCTCTATCAACAAGAGACATAGCTGTAAAAGAATTCAACAATGATCCAAATGTAAGTGTTCGACGTCCAATTACATGTTTTCTTCGAAATACTTTTATACCAAGTTTAGTTAATAATATTTTTGAACAGGTGCAAGTGATGCTAATGTCTCTTAAAGCTGGAAACCTTGGATTGAACATGGTATCTGCATGTCATGTGATTCTGTTGGATCTTTGGTGGAATCCGACAACCGAAGATCAAGCTATTGATCGAGCTCATCGTATTGGACAAACTCGGACCGTTACCGTGACTCGTATTACTACCAAAAATACCGTTGAAGATCGAATTTTGGCTCTTCAGGTATTAATAAACCTATTAAGATCGTTTTCTTCATAGTAACATTTACTCCATGGATGGCTCAGTTGTCATATATTAATTTTTTTTCTTTTACCAACTTTATCAGGAAAGTAAAAGGAAAATGGTGGCATCTGCATTGGGTGAAAACCATGGTAAAAGCTCTGCGATTCAACTAACAGTAGAAGATCTCGAATATCTATTTTTTGGTGTGTAGAATACTGAACAAACCTTCTAGCTATTGTAATTTATATTCTCATAATCATAAACGATTTTCACATTTTTGTTAATTTTTTCTAGTAATGCAAATAAATGGTTAAGTTACTTAAGTATCATCAATTTATAGTTAGCCAGCCAAAAGAAGGGAATGCCAAATCATTTTGTCAGAAGATAATAGTGGTTCCAATTTTTTGGGCTTTGTTCATCCATGAATCAACTAGATTTGGTCCCTGAGGTTATTTGGACCCAAATATAAAATATCGGAACAATACAGGGGTTAATTCTGTAATTACCTTAACTTAACCGCGTGACTGTTTTATCTTTAATTGGAACTTTGTATTGGATTGCTATGAGGGTTTAGAGTAGTGAGACTTTTATCCAGAGCTCTGATATTTCAAGGGAGAGATTTGAGCCCATTTGTATCTTGCCGTGTAAGAACGCTTTTGGAGATAATCAAACCCTTGCGGTATTTAGGGGAGATCGGTTTTCAGTGTTGGAACAATGCCATGCAACAAAGAAAATCAAGATTTGGGTGACTATGAACAAGATTAGTGGAAACAGGGAGGGGCTTGTGTCGTGGAGACTGTTCATGACTGTGTCGATACCAAACTTCCCGAGATTACAAGACAATATATATATTCTGTCTCTCAGCCAAGTTATTTCATCGATAACAATGACGACAAAAGGCTCGTTGTGTGTACTTGTGATGAAATTGGAAAGCCTTGCATCTACATTGTGAAGGGACATAGGTTCAAGAAGATTCAAATGGATTTTGAGGTTGAACCTTGGCCTTATCACCTTGTCTACGTTCCTAGTTTGGTTCACATTCCTTTACCTCAAATTAAGCAATGTGAAGCTTAGTTTTTTATAAAATTGTTCGGGGTTTTTTGCAAACTAAAAAATTGATCTAGATTTCATTAATTGTTTCTTGGATCATATATAGATTATAAATATTTTAGATGTTTCTGAATGGTTTGTTCAGCGTGGCTTGGTGGATGTTCACAGTTTGATATCACAAAATGAAGAAAACTAAGTATGAATCAAAGTAGACATTTATATTGTTTCTCATATAAAAATTTCTCTAAATTGGGATGTGTATCATGTGATCCTCGAAGGCAATAATGAAGTCTGAACTTAGAGGGGACAAAATTGAAAAGAAAGGTTGCTAGTCTCTCGCTATACAATTAAACAGTACCAACACTATAGGTCATATATATATATATATATATATATATATATATATATATATATTTTTTTTTTTTTTAAATAATACTTTACTTTTTTTCATTTTAACGTCAAATTAAGAATCCTGTCCCACACTAGTCGCATAGAAGAGAACAACAAAAAAAAAGGAGTTAACGAACATTAGGTTGAAACCCTAATTAGGAAAATAGAGAATGGATTCAACCAAAAAGAAGAAGAATATAGCAGCGCATGATGAGAAGCTTCCATGGGAGTTGATGGAAGAGATACTCTATCGTGTCCCACCTAAAACCCTCGTTCACTTCAGAACCGTTTCGAAACAGCTCTCTTCGAAGACAAGCTGTTCATCAACAACCACAAGTCAACGTTCCGATTCATCCTGAGTACCAACTCCAAAATTTATTCGGTAAGCATCGATCCCAAGATAGTGGTGCGTGAGTTAACCTTGGATATTCCCGGTTTAGAATCCAAAATACCTAACTACTTGGTTGATTGCGATGAGTTCTTGTTGCTATGTGACATGGATATAGGAACCGCAGTTTGGAACCCGTGGTTGAATCAGACTAAATTGATCAAGCCCGAACTTGGTTTCCAAATCGATGGCATAGGCTATGTTAATAATAAGAATAGTAATACAACAAGAATTGAGGAAAAAGTTTACAAGGCCCTTGCGTCTTATTCGAAGGGATCATACCCTAACGTCGAAACATGCTGGAAAATCTATGACTTTGCCCCCGATGCTCGGGAAAACAAAGGGCATTGTGTTGATGATACTACTGAGGGAGAAAAAGAACCTACATCACACAACTTGGGTGGTGTACCGTTGAATGGAACTTTGTATTGGGTTGCTTTTTATGACGAGACTGATTCCTTGTACCACCTTACGAAATTCGATTTTTCTAGTGAAAAATTTCTCAAGTTTTGTGATCTACCGTGTGGTATAAACCATCGTCGCCGCGATGCTCTTGTCCTTAGGGTCTTTAAGGGAGATCGGTTTTCCTTGTTAAAGCAATGCCATGTAACAAAGAAGGTTGAGATTTGGGTGACCAAGAACAAGATTAACGTTGAAGATGGTGATGGTGTGGTTTGGATGAATTTCATGACTTTCTCAATTCCTAACTTTCCAGGATTAGTACAGTACTACTCTAAGCCAAGTTACTTCATCGACGACAAAAAGCTTGTTGTGTGCTCTTGCGATGAAACCGGGCAGGCTTGGATATATGTTGTGGAGGGAAATAAGTTGATCAACAAAGTCCAAGTAGACTCTGCGGTTGATCGTTGGCCTTCGCATTGCACCTATTTTCCCAGTTTGGTCCCGGTTCCTCGAGGCCAGAGAGAAGTTTAGTTGTATTACGTTTGTCTTCTTGTTTAGATGTTGAGTAAGCAAGCCAAAAATGATTTCGGTGTTGGTGTTTTTTTTTTCATAAACCATCTTCTTTGTTTCAAGTTTCAACTAGAGATGTTGCTCATTTTCCTTTTTTTTGCCTTCCTTGGAGAAATAAATTATTTTAACTTTGGTTACACAAAAACCATTATCGCGATGGGAACAAATTTTAAAATAATAATGAAATGTGCCGTAGTTGCATGTTTTATTACCATATTAATATCTCATTTTATTTTTTCTTACTAATATTTAAATTTTGATTTTTTTTTAAAAAAATTCCTTTTATTCAAAAATATATGTCATTTTTATCGATAACTTTTTGCATTTTATTTAAAACATATGATTTACTATTTATTTAACGATTTATAACGAGGTGGTAGGCCTTGCGTCTACATTTTGAAGGGAGATAGATTCAAGAAGATTCAAATGGATTTTGAGGTTGATCCTTGGTCTTATCACCTTGTGTATGTTCCTAGTTTGATTCACATTCCTTTACCTCAAATACAGCAATGTGAAGCTTAGTTTATATTACATTGTTTGGGTTTTTTTGCAAACTAAAAAATTGATCTAGACTTCTTTAATTGTTTCATGGATCATATATAGATTATAAATGTTTTAGATGTTTCCAAATGGTTTGTTCAGCGTGGCTTGGTGGATGTTCATAGTATGATATACTGCATCTATCATAAAACATGAATGCTTCAGTTTCAAGAAATTAGTAATAATGTCTGAATTTACCGAATATAATTGAATCGATAATGATGTCTAAGAAATGATAGAAATTAGTATGGTGCGCTGCTGCACCGTTCGCTAAAGTAACAAAGTTTTTGATTTTCAGTGTTTTCTACATATCAATATTAATTATGTATAATTAAAACATTTAATGCGAAGAAAATATAAGTATGATCGATGATCTTTACACAAAATAAAAATTAAATTTATCAAATAAAACATAATATTAGATCAATAAATACAAAACAACTTAATTGGGGAAAAAACAACCGCAGCTTAACGCAGATACTTCTAGTAAAATTACAAAATTGTCGACAAAAAAAAATTACAAAATTAGTACCAAATCCCACATGTCTAGTTTACACAAAAGATTATGATTAAATAATCTAGCGAGACTTACCAATTATATGTCATGATATAATGCAATACACGGTACATAATCTATGATTCCATACCGACTCTCTTTACATTTAAGCTAATGTGACGATAAGCTTCTAAGTCTTGTTATCTTATTCAGAAAATTCTCACGCAATGGAATAATACTGGGAACATAAATTGAGTGATTATAACAATCAACCGCAGAATCTAATTTAATCTTCCTTGGAATACCTTCCTTCACGATATAAAGCCAAAGGTGGCTACTTTCGAAGTCGTAATAACACATGACAAAGCTCTTTCCATAGATATTATCCACGAAGTAACTTGGGCAAGATCCACGTCCGTGAGACTCTAGATATAACTTAGGGATGTCAGGTGCTGAGACAGTCATGAATTTAATCCATTCCACATCCTCCTCATCCCCATTTTTTATCTTCTTTTTTGTCACCCAAATCTCAATCTCTCTTGTTTTATAGCATTGTTCTAACATTGAAAACCGATTTCCTCTAAAAATGGAGAGGTAATGAGTATCTCCCTCATCGTTCTTCTTACATGGTAGAATACAAAAATTCTTCAATAACTCTTTTGAAAAATCAAATTTACGAATGAAATACTCGCCAGTGTCGATGTTATAAGCCGTCCAATAAGAATTTCCATTGAGTGACATATGTATATCTAATGGTTCTTTTATGGACAATTCTTCGTAAGGGGCATTGATATACTTCCACGTGTCAGATGCAAACTCATATATTGCAAGTTTACGATCTCGCGAGTCTACTACATTTAAATAATAATGATAACCAAGTATCTTGTAACTTATTTCAGGCTTACTATTGTCGTAACCAATCCCACATAACTTGTATGGATGTTGATATTCGGTCAGAATCTGTCTACCTTGTCTCAGCAACGGGTTCCAAACAACAGTCCCGTGCATAAAAAATTTAGAAAACAACAGCCCATCGCAATAAGTGGTGGTCTTAGGCAACCTAATATTCACACCGGGAATATCTACATATATTTTACGCACCTTTATCGTTATATCATCGTCGAGATCGACATCTATTGCAAAAATCTTAGTTTGGTGAAAGAACAGAATTTTCGGACAAGAATGATCCAACTGGGCCTTGAGGAAACTTTTCTCACGGAAAAGAGAGTTCCATTGTTTGCAAACAGTTCAAAATCGACCAAGAGAATTTGGTGGAACCCGAGATAGGATCTCTTCCACCAGCTCCAACGGAAGTCTCACCAATGCCATTATAGGATCTTCTTATGCATGAGGTTTATAATAAAGAAGAAATAAAAAGTTACATCATAATACGAGTATATATAGTGGGATTTATAAATTTGAAACTTACCGAACAAGTTTTGACAAAAAAAAATTATGTAGCAAGTTTATCATTCATGGAATCCCAAAAGGGAATAGAATATTTTTTTTTCTGGAGTACTATGTTTTTTAAGAGAAAAAAAAAAGTACTATGGGGATGATTGGTGGGAGCTGTGGTTGCTCTCCACAGCTCTATATCTCTCTACAGCACTCCAAAATTACCAATCATGCTCTCCTTTTATCTCTTTCCATTTTTGAAACATAGAGCAATTTTATTTATTTATGGAAGTTCCGTAGCTGTGGAAAGCAATTTTTCTATAGCACTAAATTTAGTGCTCTCTAAATTCTCTCTCTTCTCTTTCCTTATTATTTTGTCTATATTCTTTTTTTAATCTCTTATTTCTATATCTTCTTTTTTTGTTTTAATATTTCATTTAATACACAATCTACAAAAAAAAAATCTTAGAGCACTAAAAACTAAAGCCACAGCACTAAAACCTACAGCCTAAACTCTACAGCCAAAAATCTAAAGTCACAGCCACAACCAATCAGGCCCTATGTTTCTTTACTCCAAAAAAAAGATAAATTAATGTATAAACATTAAAAATTCAAAGATTACATAAGAAAATAAGAAACTTACCTAAAATTAATTCTATATAATTATTTAAGATGGGATGTGAATTCCTAGATTTATATCCAAAAATATGTAGACAAACTAATAATAGATTTCCGGGTTTCCTTGCAAAGTTGCAAGCATCTCCGATTCCCAATTTCATCCGGTAAAATTAAAATTATGTTATTTATTAGTCATAAAACTTGATATAAAATTATAAAAGAATTTCTCAAACAATAACTAAAACTGAAAAATGACAATTGTACACCATTTGTATTGTTTCCAGGAGAAATATACAATTATAATAACTGAGAAATAAAGAAGAATTAAAAAAAAAAGTAACATCAAAATAAATTATAACTGTCGACAAAAAAAAAAAAAAATATATATATATATATATATATAACAATATGTCAAATACAAAGATTTCACTAGATATATTACAACATGAATTTCATTTTGTTAAGAAAAAGTGAACATTAAAATGGCCCTATTAAAATAGCCAATAAAGTTACAAACCTTAAAAATATATAAATATCACACAGAAATAGAGGACACAAAAATATCAATTTCATTGTTTTTCAATGCCGACATAAATATATGGTAAATAAAAAATGAATACTATTATCTTAATATATTAATAGTTGATAAATTAATGAGATTAAGAGCACAAAATTGTACATTAATCCCCTAACCCTAATAAATTTACAAATCAATGCAAGCGGGAAAATTTGATGTAACCATCTTAAATCTGCCAAAATAAGCAAGCCTTTTTAAAAATGATATGCTACTTGTAGAGAGGATTTGTTTACGGGGATTCTAATTGGATCAATATTTATATAAATAATTCGAATTCAAAACAAATCAGTGATAAGTTTTGTTTGCTTCTGGGCTGTCCATGAGGGATGTGGGATATACTTTAGATTATTATCTTTATTTTTGTATTTTATATTTTATTTATTTAAAATGTGAAAAGAGGGAATACTGTATAAGACCCGTTAGATTCATTTGAAGTGCAATAAATTAAAGGTGTCTCTAATTGAGTTGTTGTAGCGATATCTAATGTTTCAAACTGGTCCTTAACCATCTGTATGACTGGTATCCCTTTAAAACAATGTAACGTTTTTATCTTGCTTCGAAACTTTTTTCTAGTATGGTCTATTTCGCCTTAATTAATCACGAAGAGCTTATGTTTTGGTTTATAGGTTGGAGTTCTCGTGACAACAAATTTTATATAGAAGAAATCAGTTAGTATTTGATTTACTAACTAGATTAAATTAGATTTCTTTTATAAAGTGTGCACAAACAAATCATACAGTATTATAAATCAATATTACAGATTATCCTCCACGTGTGGTTCTGCCGAAAGGGATGCAGGTGAAGCTGGCTTTAGTTTGCTCCCAACCAAATCCTATTATCGTATCTTTATTTTCCATCAATAATTCAAAAATAAAGAAAATATTTTTTATTATTTTATTTGGTCAGCGAGCATTCATCATACATTCGTAGTTTCGTACCATATGGAAACTTATAATCATAGCTATCAAATAAAAAAAAAACTTTTATTTTATTGTTCTAGCATCTGATATAATTCTCGAGCACATGCATGATGCAGTGATGCCCCCATGAATACGAAATACAGTGTTTTTATGTATAATCACTGATAACAACATTGATTATAATGAAATATCTAATTTTATTGAATATTTATTTTCCTGGTTTATGTAAGTAACAAACAGAGATGATTCCCAGAGAAATTTACACCTATAGTTGTATACGTGTATGAAATTATAAGGCAATGAACTTAGAAAAATAAACCGGCGAAAATATAAAGACATTCTGAAAAACTACAGTAACAGATTTAGCGCCGGCAGCGAGTGATGACGCTGCAGCCGCGAGAGTAAGGATTGGCCTGAGCGCCACGTCGGCAATTGTAGTAAGATGCGCCGCGGCGCGAGCACGGAATACTGTTCCTCCTCAGCGCACCGTAGCTGATGTACCTCGTAGTCGCTAATATGCGCCTGCTGATTTCTGAGTCCATCTCGAACTCAGCTCCCATTTCTCCGCCGTAGAAGAGATCTCCTCCTTCGTCTCCGATGGAGGCGGAAACAGAGCACTCGGCGATAGAACCGCGGCACTCTGTCTCCATCGGAGGAAACTCGCCGGCGAATTCGAGGGACTGAGAAGATACGGCGACGGACCAGCACTGGACAGCAAGGATGACTAGGATCGCGAAAACCGCCGCCGCGCCGGAGTTTCTGGAGAGTCCTCTCATTTTTTATTTGCTGCGTGCGTCTCTCTAGCTTTATTTCTCTGTGAGCACGAACTTTGAAGAAAGAGAGAGAAACAAAAAGGTATAAAGGAGAAGAAGATATTCTGAAATGCCACTGAAAGATATGAGTAACTACGAATAATGCCACTTGACTTTGAGGTGATGTTTGTACAGCTTTACAATTACAAGTGGGCTTTTGTTAGCTTCAGATCCAAGTGTTTGATGGAGACATGTACTAAATATTTTAGATTTTGTTGGTTACTTTACGGTTTTTATCTACTACAATTATCTCAACCAATCACCCACATATTTTTACAACAAATCTGTTTTTACTTTAGTTATTTAAAATTAAAGCTGTTTATTTGGCTATTTTGTTCGGATAATTACGTGTTACTTACGAAAATAATATTGTTCCCAATCGGAATCACAAGTATTTTTTTTTTTTAAATTCCATACAAAAAAATGTCAACAAAAGTTATGATTGTGTTTTTGAAATGTTTAACGTTTCAATTCAATGTGCTAACAATAAAAGAAAAAATAGTACAAGGGTAGATATGAATAATTATGTCTGTCTCCTTCCATGATATGTGACTATTTTTAAAAAGACCTATCTATTAAAATACCAACATATTAATAAAGGGAGGATTATACATTTACAACCGTTTTGTGTGATTTGCAATTTCATGAAAATGGACATTATTAAAAAAGAAAACATATCATGCGCAGCGCCACGCCGCCACCAAATCGTAAGTTTATGAAATGAAAAAAAAATGGGGTTGAAGTGGATTTTGGACCCACATACACAGGAAATTGAGCAATGTTTGGATATTTTTTCAGTATTGTCTTCGCAATTTTATGTTTTTATGTATGACCACAAGTTCTATGTTCTCATCAATGTATGCTTTTTCACCTTATGAACCTAAGCTTTGGAGAATGAATTTGAATGACCTTAATTATGTACTTTTTACATGAATTTTCTGGTCTAGTTAAATATACTAAATCTTACAAGTGTCTTACCTCTTACATATTAAAAAACACCGAAGCCAACAAAAATGGTTTTTCTTCTCCAGTTTAGCGAAAATGAAAGTCCGTAAGACGTTTATCAAGTGTACATAACCGGAACCGGAAGTGTATTTCTTGGTTTAATCTAATTTCTGGTTCACCGGGAATTCAGCACAATTCAATTTGGAAAAAATATCTGGAGAGGCGGCTTTTAGTCAATTTGACAAATATGTGGAAGGAAATGTAAAAGTTGTGAATAATACGGCTCTTTAGTGCGATTTCAACTTTTTTTGACTTTTCTTTTTTCCCCGTTGACCACCACGTCGTCGCAGGACTTTAATTAAAACTCGGTGGTCACTCACTCGCTCCTTCACCGTGACGAAATTCCGTCGAAAACCACCATGGATTTTCCTCCGACGAAGCTCGATTATCACGAAGACATGTTCAATCTCCAATCACACGCCAGATTTCTCTCCTTATTTAAGGTCCGTCTAGATACTAACCATTTCTCCAGCTCTCCGCCGTCTTCGTTTCCGAATCCAATGCTGAATCCTACTCTCTCTCTCTCTCTGTATCGGTTAATACTTTCTCAGGCACAAGATGGACGTACATCACTAATACTGGAGTCGACGGTGTTTCATCCACAAGGTGGAGGCCAGCCATCGGACACTGGCTTCATCGTATTCGCCGGTTCGGATTGCAAGTTTTCCGTTCAGGATGTTCGATCGAAAGACGGAATTGTAATATCAAATTGTCTATTTCGACTGTTAGTGCTTAGAGTAGACGGAACTGTAATATGTTTGTGCATTTTCTCTAGGTTCTCCATTACGGAGTTTTTGAAGGTTCAAATCCTGAAAGTGGAATGAACATTGAGAAAGGGCAACAAGTTCACTTGCTAGTTGATGAATCAAGGCGCAAGCTTAATTCCAGGTAAAGAAAATGTTTGATTTTAGCTGAATAGAAAGTATAGCTAAGTGTAGTTGTATCAATAAAGAGCTAGTTTGATGATTGATTCTAGTTTTGGCAAGGGAAAGTGTTGTAGACATTCTTGTTATATTTTAGAAACATCAAACATTTTTCTTCTGGAAAGTGGATACTGATGCTTGAGATTTTAAGTGAAAGTTTTGTTCCTTTTCGAGTTAAATTATGTGAATCACAAGTGATGCTGTTTCGTAATCTGCTTGTGGAGATCTTGAAATATCCCATCTTGGATGTTAAAAATTGTTCTGTATTGCTATGCATCACATGATAGTAACAAATTATGGAAATATAGATTCTTGCAAATTTTGGTTGTTATTTGTGCGTGGACTCTGTTTTGAAGTTTAACAGTTTATCATGATCAGGTTGCACTCAGCTGGACACTTGCTAGATTTGTGTATCCAGAAAGTTGGGTTAGGACACTTAGAGCCTGGAAAAGGCTACCATTTTCCGGACGGGTAAGAGGATTTGTCATCCGTTTGCAAGCTTTTTGTTTAAACAATAGATGACAAGTAAAAACTCTGTGATCTAACTACAATGCGAACAGTCCTTTCGTGGAATACAAAGGAATCGTTCCACAGGATGTGTTGCAGGTGAAGCAGAAAGAGTTGGAGGCAGAAGCTAACGAACTGATATCCAAAGGAGGAAAGGTAACCCTTAGGATATCGTATTCATAGTTGAATTTCTTTGATTCTGTGTTTGGCTTCCTAAAAATGATTATTTTTATACTGCGTAAGGTTTATGCTGCTATATTACCCTATGAAGATGCATCCGTGCTCTGTGGTGGCAGTCTTCCTGATTATATTCCCAAGGTAGTTCCTTGACCTCTAGTGGTTTGTTTTCATTCCCAATGAACCTCGAGTGTCCAGTCTTATGGATGCAGTGGCTTTTCTTAAAGCGATGTAAATCTTTTTGGCTTTGTTAAGTAAACTGTAACCATGGATAGATAAAATACCGTTTTCTATAGCAATTCCTGCTCTCTGTCTTAAACATTATATCATCTATCTGGTAACTATGTTAGTGAAAGTTTTGAGAGCACGCCAGTTATAGTTAAGCAACGAAAAATACATAGCAAACGGCAGAGATTCCATAATACAATGTGTTGAGCCATTAAACTCTTGATACGTCGCAGGGAAGCACTCCCCGGATCTTACGGTTAGGTGAAAACATCGGGTGTCCGTGTGGTGGGACTCATGTATCCGATATATCTGATATCGTAAGCATGAAGGTACACATCCAATATCCCCCAGTCTCAAGTAGATATCTTTTCCTTTTTGTTGCTTCCTTCTTTTGTCTTGTGTTATTCTAAAATTGTTTCTGTGTACTTGTCATTGTTGTTTCTCAGGTCACACAGATAAGAACAAAGAAAGGAATGACCAAAGTTTTCTACACCATTGCATCTTAATTTTGACTTGCTTACTTACTGTATACAAAAAAAGTCAAGGTAATCCTCAACATTCACTTCCTGTTGATTTTATATCGTCACTTATAAGCAGAAAGGTTCGTTTTTACTGCCATTCACTGAACAATCCTAGGTTTTTACTGTCTCAATGAAATATCATCCCAGGTTCTGTGGTTTTAAGAGTTGAGAGTTTGCACTAGATGTACAAACACTAGAGGTTTTGCAAAAAAAATCGTGTCCATAAAGACAAACCGAGATCACTCATAGTCTTTTTCATTAGAAATTGCCAAATAAAAAGGTACGTAAGCTAAATGAGATTGTAATCAAATGTCATTTTCAGGGAAGGAATTGTAGTGATGACGACTGTTTTCCGTCAGTTGGCTTCAACAGCAAGCAGCCTCTCCTATGGCTCAACAGCCGCAAATAATCAGAGTGTTTGTGGTTGTGGCTATTCATCAATCTATTAAACGACTCTCCCTATCATTGATAAGTCGTATTTATGATAATTGATAATTGATATTGATGTGATAGGATCTTCCACTCATCCTCTTATTAGTATTACTATATTGACTCTTGGTTTGTAGAATCATACCATCAAAACATTTGGTCCGATATTTTTATTGATGCAACGTAAGATAAGACAAAATAGAGCGATCACCGGGTTCAAATCGGAATTTTAATCTACCAAACCGAATAAATCGGGTGGCTATTAAAAAATTTTAGGAAGGAAACCGGTTAAGCCTGCACCAGTTTCCGTTGTTCGATTTGGGGACCTGTCTGAGTTTGTGGGACTGGGACTGTTTGAATATGTAAAAAATCGAAATTGATTTTTTGAGGTGTGACAACATAAGGTAGATTATTCTCTCAATTATTATCTCAATTCACCAAGTCAAAATTCGATAAACTATGGAAACTTGTATATATGTTTTCATTGCGTCTAGTTATTGTTTAATAGTTTTCGTGTGGCTTCTTCATCCGATTTAACAAATTTCTGATAAATAACTAGTATTTTATATGCTTAGAGAGATTCAAAATGTTAGATCTGCTCCCCTTTCTTACGTCATGCGACCTAACAACTTATATACATTCTCGATTTTTTGCTTACCAGTTTTATATTATTATATAGAGATGTATCAATTTGTTTATGTACTTGCTTCTTTACGTCTCTGTTTGCGGCAACTATGAATGTACGCCACGTCAATATCTAGTAGCCTAGTACCCAAAAAAAAATTAGATTTTGTATAACGTCACTAATTTTGGGTTATTTTATTCTGTTGCCCATTTATATTGCAATCTAAATTATATCATTACAATACAATATTATTAGTTATTACCATCCTGAATTTGATGATTTAAGATATCACATTTGTACACACTTAACTCCAACTACAAATAAAATCTGCAAGCTGTTTATCATGGAAGAAGAGTTAGACTACTGTATCTACAGAATTTGATCGAGTGGACATGTGGGTTAACTTCACAGGACGACAAAGAATTACGATTTTTAAACAGCCCCTTGTACCCTTGCAAGTTGCAATTATAATATGTAAATTACTGTCGTGGGAAACTGGACAACAAAACAAAATGGAGATTATTTGCTTAAACGTATCGTATTATATTGGTTCTTTGAGAAGTTCAAGAAAAATAATACAACTATGACTGGATAGAATATTACAACACAGTACAGATAGGGATCTGAGGATGACATCATCATATAAAATGTCAACTAACACACTTATTGCCTCAATTGTTGACTCTATTCTTTTTTCACTTTCATCCATAGATTTTTTTTGGGCGACCGGTAATTACTTTTTTATTTACTCCAAAATATGTCGTTGATATTTTCTTTGTGAGGAAGTTATGAAAGTTTGGTTGTACATCTTTGGACTGAAACTAAAAAAACGAAATTTTATGTATTCAAACTTCAATTTTGTTCTACGAAGGTTATAGCTTATAATTTGTCAAAATAAATAAAATAATTAAATAAGTTTTAAATTGTTTTCCTTAAATGTATAATAGATTTAATAATGAAAAATAATTCTATTTTGTGTTTTAAATAAAAAAATATCTAAGAATATCTTTACCAGGAAAAGGTAAAAAATTAAAATACTAAACTGAGGAAAGGGGAAAAAAAAAATAGAGAAGAAGCTAAAAGGCAACGAATCAAAGAGAGAAAAGAGAAAGTGACGAAAAAAACCATTATAAAGAGAGCTTCGATTTTAACTCCCAAAATTAGCAAAGCAAACATTCACTCGTTAACTCTCCTCCTCCATCCATTCATCTTCTCCTTCTCTCTCTCTCTCTCTCTTTTCTCTCATCTCACTCATTTGATTCGCTTCCTTCGTCTTCGTCTTCGTCTTCGTCTTCGTCTTCGTCTCCTCCGATTTGCTCCTTTCAAATATTCGCTTCTTCTGGGCTTTCCGAATCTCTTCATCCGCGTGTTTCCTTATACGCTAAGGTAACCGTAACCCCCTTATCTCCTCCTCAATATCTCCAATGTCTGTTTCTTCCTCCGATTTTTCAATTATTCTGAATTAAGGGTTTTTCAATTCATTTTGCAAGTTTGCGATTCGTTCAACGCTTATGAGATTTCGCTGATTATCTGTTTTGGTTGGTTCTGAAGTTTTACATGTCTCTGTTTCTGGGTTTTAGATAGCTTTTTTTCTCTGTAAAACATTTTATCCGAAATCCGAAATCCGAAATCCTCTGCCAACAACATGTGGTCTGCATTTATTGGCGTCCTATGAAAAAAAAAAGGATATTTTTAACTCCACATTTAACTTATGCAAGTGAAACAGAAATATAAAAAAACAAAACTTTTCGTTATCTTTGGCCCCATTTAGCTTCACTTGAGGCTTAAACGAATCTTGATTAGTGGATCTGAAGAAGAAAACTGGATTCTTGTTGTTGTTTTCAACAGAAAAAATGCAGGAAGAGACGATAAGTGATCCATACGGAGAGATTGAGATAAGCTTTGGCTACCAATGCAACAACAACAAGAAGAAGAACAAGATTGTTGGAATCCCTGAAGATAACATTCCTGATGGCCGTGGCGGCGTTCTTGCTGGCTTCAGGCTTCACAAGACGAGCAGCTTCTCTTGCCTCTCAGGAGCCGCGTTAAGCGGGAACCCAACGTTAGCCAACACGAACATCTGCAACGGAGTGATCGGCACCGAGATCTTGCCGTCTCTCGACTCTCCAAGATCCTTCAGGAAAGTCCCCTCCTCTCCAGCGCTCTCCAAGCTCGACAACATCCTCTCCCCTTCTCTCCATGGAAGCATGGCGAGCTTAAGCTGCAGCTCCTCCACTACAAGCCCGAGCCCTCCCGAGCCGGAGTCTTGCTTCTTGACGTCGATGAGCTCTCCTTCTTCCGTGAACAACGAAGGGTTTCTTCTCTCTGCCATGGAGGTTCAAGTTGCCGGCGGCGCTGCAGGGGAAGACAGGGTTCAGGCTGTTTGCTCTGAGGAGAACGGTTGGCTCTTCTGCGCGATTTACGATGGTTTCAATGGGAGAGACGCTGCTGATTTCTTGGCTTGTACTTTGTATGAGTCCATTGTGTTCCATCTCCAGCTTCTTGATCACCAGATGAAGCAAGATGATGATGTTGTTGGAGAGAAGAAGCCTGGTTTGTTGTTGTCAGACTCGCAAGGAGTGTTGGATTGCTTGAACCGCGCGCTTCTCCAGGCGGAGAATGATTTCTTGAGGATGGTTGAGCAAGAAATGGAGGAGAGGCCGGATTTGGTGTCGGTTGGTTCTTGCGTTCTGGTGACTCTTCTTGCTGGGAAGGATCTGTATGTTCTGAATCTTGGTGATAGCAGAGCTGTTCTAGCGAGCTATGATGGTGATAGGAAGCTGCAAGCTGTTCAGCTGACGGAGGATCACACGGTTGATAACGAAGTGGAGGAAGCTAGGCTGTTGAGTGAGCATCTTGACGATCCCAAGATCGTTATTGGTGGGAAAATCAAAGGGAAGCTTAAAGTGACTCGTGCCCTAGGTGTTGGTTACTTGAAGAAGGTATATAAAATGAAGAAAGCTTTTGTTTGTTTTAGGTTTTGGTTTTTGATTTTGGTTTCTTGCAGGAGAAGCTGAACGATGCACTGATGGGGATTCTGAGAGTGCGTAACCTTTTGAGTCCGCCTTACGTTTCAGTGGAACCGTCGATGAGAGTTCACAAGATAACGGAGTCGGATCACTTTGTGATCGTTGCGAGCGATGGTTTGTTTGATTTCTTCAGCAACGAGGAAGCGATCGAGCTTGTTCACTCTTTCATTTACAGTAACCCTTGTGGTGATCCGGCGAAGTTTCTACTTGAACGTCTTGTAGCTAAAGCTGCTGCTCGTGTTGGTAATGCTTTTAAAATGTTGTTATAAACAAAATCATGCAACTTTTTTCGTTATCTGACAAGTTTGATGATATTTTTGTAAGGCTTCACGTTGGAAGAATTGATGAATGTTCCGGCTGGTCGGAAACGGCGATATCATGACGATGTGACTGTGATGGTGATCACTCTCGGAACGGATCAACGGACCTCGAAGGCTTCTACTACGTTCGTGTGATTTTTGATGGATTGATGATAGATTATTATTGATGATGGCGACAAATCTTGGATTGGTGAAAATTGTAAATACATCTCTTGATCGTACTTGGACTTTTGAAACTGATCTCAGAGTATTTATTTATTTGCTGGTATTTTTGTTTATTGTATAGCAGCAATAGTACCGTGTTATCCAAGTTGGTTTTTGATCTCTGTTTTTGGCCTTTTAGGTTCGGTCTGTATCACAGACAGAAAGCGTTTCTGTTAATTGGTTGATGACTACTGGAATAAATGTTGATTTGAGATCTTTATTAATTTATTTACTTAAAGTCTTTAAAGTTATTAACTGTCCATTTGAACATCCCGACCGAACCTAACTCAGTGAGGGTTTAAGCCGCCGCCGCCTTTGTCAGAATCACAAAAGCAATCACAAAAGCAGAATAACACGCTTGGAGGAAGATGGTGTTCATGTCGGCACTTGTACTCAATTTCGCAAAGCGAACCGTCTCAAGACTCTCAACTGTACGCCACCTCTCTCAGATTCAGGTTCCAGAGGACTATCCGGTAAATCTAAACATTGTTCCTCTTTTAAACCGATATCCGAAATTGGATTTAGGATCAAGTTATTTGAAACAAGGAATTTTTTTTTTTTAAAGTAAGAAAATCGGTTTGTTCTTGGATCTTGGTGATGAAAACGAGAAAAAGGTTTTTTTTTTTAAATTTCCTGGAATTTGCAGTAAAAGTGAGGCGTAGATTTCTTCCGATTCGTCTCGAGGAAATGAAACAAACAAGTATCCCGGAACTGTTAGTGGAGTTGGTCAGAGCGGGGAAGGTAGAAGAAGCAGATCGTTTGTACAACAAGTTCATTAGAGATGGGTTGAATCCTGAGCATGCCTTCTTGAACAAGCTGATCAACATGTTAAGCAAAATAGGCAGAGTGGAGTTGTTAACAAGGATGGGGGAGATGTGGGAATTTACACCGAGAGTATATGCGTACAATGAATTGTTTTACTGTCTTTTCGAGTGCAATGCGCCTGATTCAGAAGTGAGCTATGTGTTTGATGATATGAAGGCGGACGGTGTAACTAAAATAAAACACAAATAAAACTTACAGTATCGTTTGCTACAGCATCACAAATCTTCCCAGCATCAAGTAAGAATTGACATCTCTTGAGCTCATCATACTATCCTGATGTGAGAAGAAACACAGTAAGTTTCAAATACCAACAGATTTGAATAATATATGTAAAGTATGATCAGGGTAAGAAGTACAGCGAGACCAACTAGAGATTATTATAAAGACAAGAAACACATTTGATGATAGATCCATTGGCTATCGATCTGCAACAGATTCAATATCATAACATAGTACCTTCACTGTCTGTGTTCATCAAACTCAATGCTCCCATCAGAGAGACTTTCATAGTCGTCTCCAGACAATTCTTCTGAACAAGTTTTATAGCTCCCAGCAGAGAGAATGCTTTCATCATCGTCGTCTGTTGTCAAGATCTGGACACCACATTCAACGATTTCTAGTTGATCGGATGAAACGCTGAATTGGAACAACACCTCGTTGTCCTGTTCAAGCCACCCGTCTTCCTCAAACAATTCATACGGAAATATAAACAGATGCTCCCTTCTGATACAAGAGAGACTCTCAATCATTTCTTCCGCAATCAGGCAACCGTTTAAGCTTGTTCGACACATCACACTAACAAAACCTCCATAGGTATGCGGTTTAGGGGTAACCAAGAGGCAAACTCTAAATCTGTAGAAAACTGAAGGGATGGTCAAAAAACTTCCTAGAGCTCGGTGATCGAACTCCGCTGGCATTTCTTTCCCGGGTAAGCAAGCTATCTTGCAAAACGTTTGCTGTGTAATGACTCTCCTTGCTTCTTGACCCAACTTGAAGCAGTTGGGGAAATTGAGATCCTCGATTCCAGAGTCAATATGGAAACATGTTAGCGTCTCCAATGATTCACAAGCGTTGATGATTATTGTCTTGAGCGATGGAGGGAGCTCTGGTAGTGATGCAAGTTTCGGACAGCCAACTATGTAAAGATGCCTTAACACATGAAGATCTTTAAGCCAATCTGTAATACTCCCAATATCATCTGCACCACTTCGCTCTGGAAAATTCAAGTTGGTAAATGGATATGGATTGACACTTCCCCATATACTGAGAGACTCAAGGCTAGACCAGAGGCCAATGGTTTCAGGCAATTCTTGTAACAACATTGTATCAGTAACTGTGAGATTTGTGACGTTCCCGTAAAAGCTTGGGATTTGTTTCAGTTGCCAGCATCCCACCAAGTTGACCCTATCGAGAGATGAAGAGCTGAAGAGAGTCGGAACAACCTCTAGGTTTATGCAGAAATCCGCATGCAACTCCTCTAGTTTAGGAAGATTTCCAATAGATGAAGGAATCTCTACCAAACTCTCGCAACCGGCTAGATACAATCTCTCAAGATTTGTAGCCTTTGAAAGCTCAGGGAGTTCCTTTAAACACAAGGAATTCGTCAAAACCATTTTCTTGAGATTTGTAAGGGGCTGAAATGTAGAAAAGCAACACAGAACAAAGGAAAGAACATCAAAACAACATTTGATTACACCAAAGTAAGTACATAGTTATATTGGTTAAATACTTTTCAATTCATTTACCTGTATACCTTCCCAAAGTTTCTCTAGCATGTTATGTCGCAAATCGAGTCCCACGAGATATTCTGGCGTAAATGTACGAGGAAGACACTTTCCAGGGTATACGTCCCAGTCTAATAACCTTAGACGAGGTGGGAACTCCATGTCCTCGTGTACGTGAACTCTAACATCTCTATCACGTCTTGTCTCGTAGACGCTGAGAAATCGAAGATTACGCATATTCTTAAAAGCACTTTTGCTTATACACACGGCGTCTGCGATCGTGGATGTATTCAAAGATATACCCGTCACACTTCTACTACCCTAAGCCAAAAAAAATATTAGCACAATAGGTATAAGAAAGTCTTTGCCATTCACTCAGTTTAGCAAAGAGAACTTACAGATTCAATCTCATGAGCATCAGTTAAGAATTTGCGCTTCCAAGGCTCTTGTCTTTGAACTGTTTGTCTACCCACTTGTTGCAGCAGCTTGTGCATCACTACTCTACCTTCGGTTAATACATGTATGAGAGATTTAGAGGCGAGTGTTTTCAACCCGAGTCTCACATCCAAGCTACCCTCAGCGAGCATGTCCATCACATGATCCTCTAATTCGTAGTTGAAGAAGAAGGCAATGTGGAGAAACAGTGACTGATCGCCCTCATGTAAACTGTCGTATCCAACTCTAAGCACAGCATCGATCTTTCGATCAAGGCTGCTATTTTCTAGCCTATGCAATACACCTTCCCAGCCATCTTCCTTCTTCCCGCGTAAATTCGCACCCATGACACGGAGACCCAAAGGAAGGTTGCCACAAAGCTTGTCACTCTTCGACCAAGCTTTCAAAACCATATGGTGCAGAGCTCGTCTAAAAGCATATCTACAAAGATCTTACTAGCTTCTTCGTCAGTTGGAAAATCCACATGGTATGTGATACGATATCATGTTGCTCCAAAAGCTCTTGATCTTCTGTGGTTACGATAATCCTGCTTCCAGGACCAAACCAGCTTAGTTTCATCAGCCAAAGCCTCAAGTTGCTGCAGATCGTCAACATCATCAAGAATGATAAGACTTTCTGGTCGCATAGCCTTTCCGGTATCGCACGTAAATGGTATATCCTCATACCATTTTGGTTTAAAATCTTGGAAAGAAGCTCTTCTTGTAATCGCAGCTTCAAACCATACTCATCAAGACCATTGCTACTGCTTCCCCTAAGATTCTCCATGAAACAAGTGAGCTGGAAACCGCTAGAGAGTCGGCTATGTAAAGCTCTGGCGATGGTGGTTTTACCAATGCCTGCAGGACCTGAAATTCCAACAATCATAGCTTCATCCTCATCACCTAAATGTAACAAAGACTGCATTTTTTCCAAGTGTGCTTCAATACCAACCATGTCTTCAAAATCCCAAGAGATTGTAGCGTTTAGTTTGTTTGAAACATCTCTAGGCAATCTTCTCAATCATCTTCGATTCATTGTCCCTAAGAAAAACAGAATCACCAAGTTTATTCACAAATCTTGATTTTGAGATTCATTGAAGAAAGCAAAACAATTTCAAATGCGAAAGCAATACGAACCAGTTTAGGAAATGCTCTCCGGCTATGTTGCCCACATCGTTCAAAGCTTGGCTCCATTTCGTCTCTCTTCCTTCGTTTTACGAGCGCAGTTTCGTTGAAAACCTTCCCAAAGTCTCCGGTTTGTTTCCGTACATCAGATGGATCTACCTCGTAGAAGATCGTCATCACAATTTGCCCAATTTCTTCCTTGCACTTGAAAATCTCCACCAATTCATCCAAACACCATCCTGAAGAAGCATACCTCTTCGAGAGCACCACGATCGAGATCCTCGATTGCCTAATCGCTTGATTGAGAGCAGGAGCGATCGTTTGGCTTCTCTCGATTCTTTGATCATCGAACATCGAAATCCCATTGCAGCTAAACTGTTTGCGTAAATGACTGAGAAAGGATTTACGAACGTCGGGGCCATGGAAGCTCGTGAAGACCCGGTATCTCCACGTGCGAGGCCGAGAAGAAGAAGAAGAAGCCATGAGAGGAGAAGATCGTCAGTCATTCAAAATCACAGATTCACAGAGATTCGTTTGGATAAAATGAGAGAAGAAGCCTATTTCTACTGTTGACTTTGTTGACTATTGAGAGAGAGAGAGAGAGCACTGTTGACTTTTTATTCCTCTTTTAAGCAAAATTTTAACTCCGTCTTTGAAAAGTAAACAGAAACATAAAACAGATTTTTATTTATTAGTGAATAGTGATTTAGTTCAGTGTTTGAGAGAACATTCCCTGAACTATGGGACTAGTAGACAAATAGGATATTACCTTGAAATTTTTGATCATATAGTCACATGTTTTTGTTCCCTATTTGTCTTCTTTTTTTCATTACATAACATGTAATATCCTTGACTTTGTAATGGCTTCACTAGTTGACTTGGGAAGCAGGATCGATGACATGAGCAAAGCATCAATGACCTAAGAGCTGAGATTGCAAAGCGAAACGTCTCAAGGCTGTGGACTCTACGCCACCTTTCTCAGACTCAAAGACAAAGAGAGTGAATGGATTTCCCTAGAGAATTTAGCATCACCTGTAGATATACTTTAACAAGCAAAAATCATATGTGGATTTAGGATCAACAATTTGTGTCCATCACTTTTATTTTATTTATTTCACTAACATGTATCCTCCACCACATCATTATAGTGAAGATAGGTCCTTTAAATATGTTGACTAGAGGATATCACATATATGTTTTTAAAAAGATTTGTTTACTGTTTTGATATGAAGAAAATGGTATGTCAAGCGAATCAAACATCACCCAATCTCGGAGTCATAATTCAAGCAATGTCACTAAACCCTTAATACCGGAGCTTCACGTGTCTTGGATCTCACTTGAGTTGTAGATATGACTTCAGCTGAGCTGTAGTAAGGATCTTTTAGTGAAATATCAGTGATATATATATTTACTATGTGACCTACAAGTCTATATCATGCGATGAAGCATTAGAGAACAGAGCCATAAACAGAAGATCTCTGCTTCCGCAATATTTATCCAATCGAACAGCTTATTGTTCAAGGAAGACCGGAGGTAGCCACGGATAAAAACGCAGGTTCTTGTCTGAATTTGCTCGATTAACAGCCGGAACAGAGTGTTGTGTTACATAATAATGCAAATAATGATTTGATGTGGTTAATTCAATTGATTTTCCTCAATAAGCGTACCGATGGAGGCTTGGCCGTTGTACGCTGCGCAGAAATATAATATAGTGGTGATGGTGGAGAAGATCAAGATTGAGATTCCGATGAATGGATCGGAGACCGGTTTCGTGAAACGAGTCCGATTAGCCAAATCAGCCTTGATCGAAACCGGTTAGTCTCAGACCGCGTTGACTGCTTTACTCCAGTCGTGGAGCCCAAAACGTTACTTAGCGGTAGAAATTAAGCTCCGCGTCAGGAAATATTTTGTTAGTTCGGTTAAGTTATTAGAAACCAATTGGTGCAAATAAGCAGACGTGTAACTGGACGATTCAATGAATATCAACGGTCCAGATTGGTTTTGTTATTATGGAATGGAATCTTCTACAGTCCACTAGATATATACACATCTCTGATTTAATATAAGCCGATTATATAGCTTTGAATCTTCTTCCGTTACATAAATCATTATTTTACGCGTTGATTTATTCTTTATTTATCGAGCTTTACATTCCATTTTAGACGGAAACAACAATTTTATCTCCTTCTCTTCTCTCTCTCTATCTGTAGTCTCTACCATGGCGAATCTGACCTTAGAGCTCAACATCTACTCTGCAAAAGATCTGGAAAATGTCAACCTTATCACCAAGATGGACGTATACGCCGTCGTTTGGGTCGACGGCGATGATTCTCAGAAGAATCACAAGGAGAAAACCGCCGTCGACAGAACCGGAGAATCTGAGCCAACCTGGAATCACGCCGTTAAGTTTTCTCTCGATCAGAGGTTAGCCCGTGAAGGCCGTTTGACACTCGTCGTGAAATTGGTATGCGATCGGATATTCGGCGGCAAAGATCTCGGAGAGGTCCAAGTCCCGGTGCTCGAGCTTCTCAATTCGTCGCCGTCTTTTAACGGTGACGGTAACGGAAATGGCTTGGGGATGAGATTCGTGACGTATCAGGTGAGGACTCCGTTTGGGAAAGGTCAAGGCTCGTTGACTTTCTCGTACCGGTTCGATATGCCGTCGTTTAAGCCGGATGTACCGGTATCACTGGTTTACCCGAACCCGATTGATACATCGCTTGATTTCCCGTCGACGAACTGTTCTCCGCCGTCTCAAGGAGGTTTTTATCCGCCACCACCGTCAATTGGATATCCGCCGTCGTCTCAGCCGCAAGGCTATTCCGCACCGCCGTACCTGTATCCGCACCAGTACGATTCTCCTTACCCGGAACATCCGATCGCCGCTTACCCACCGTCTTCCTCCGCCTCTTATCCACCATCATCCTCTACCTCGAATTATCCACCGTCTCCCTCCGCCTCGAATTATCCACCGTCTCCCTCCGCCTCGAATTATCCACCGTCATCCTCCGCCTCGAGTTTCTATCCTCCGCCGCATCATCCGTATTTGTATCCGCCGCCTCCTGATAAACCCGGTCATTCGTACTACCAAACGCAACCGTCTCAGTCGTTTCACGGGTATGTGCCGCCGTCTCCCCAGAGTCAGCATGGATACGGTTATCCGCCGGGAAATGGTTGTCCTCCGACGCAAACGCCGCCGAAGAAGAATAAACCAGGGCTTGGGCTTGGAATGGGAGCTGGGCTTCTGGGAGGAGCATTGGGTGGGCTATTACTCGGCGATTTAGTGTCCGACGCTTTTGATTTTTAACAGTATTTTTCTTGTGAGATTTTTTTTTGGTTTTTGTTGTAAAAGAAATAACTGAAAATGGACTCAGAATAATTTTCATGTGCCAATTGAGAAAATTAATTTTCCTGCTTTGTCTTTCTAAACTGTTTTTCGTGTTGTCATGACTCACAGACTATATACACAGACTATATACAGTAAAACCTCTATAAAACAATAATGTTGGGACTTTGAAATTTTATTATCTTATAGAGTTATTATTTTATCGATAAAACAATAATTATTATTTTATAGAAATATTCTATCAAAAACAAGAAACTTTATAGAAATATATTTTTTCAGATTTTTTATTCAAATTTTCCTTATACTTTGTTATTTACATATTTCATGCTCAGAAGTTCAAAGTCTATAAGAAATTATGTCTACTGTTCTTAATGGTGAAGATGAAGTTGAAGATGATGAGGAAGGACATGTGCAAGTAGTTACACGTAAGGATGCAATTGTGGCTTCGAGAACTCTTCACAACTTTTGGCTGCATGTTGAGAATACACCTCCAGAAATTGTAGATGCAATAAGAAAAATTCGAGATGAGCTCCAACGGGAATCCAATTTTCAGAAAAGACAAACTACATTGGAGTCATATTTTACTAAATTGTCTTAGATATATATGCATTAGTTTTATAATTATTATCTTAGCTTATTGTTGGGACTATATTTTTACATAGGAGTTTCAAAAATATTATTGTCTTATCATCTTATCGCATTATGCTATTTTTTACACTGGCCCGAGTTGGGACCGGAGAAAAATATTATCTTATAGTGTTTATTGTTTTATCGAGTATTGTTTTATAGAGGTTTGTGTTTTTTTTATTATCATCTCTACAGTCCATTTACTAACACAATAACATCACCATATATTTAGTCCATTTACTAACACAATAACATTAACATATTCATTTGGCAGAGCCAAATTTTTTTTGTCACAAACTATTTAGTGTACGTTATAAGTCTTAGCAAATTAATCGATTATTCACTTCTAGATACTCGAATAAAAATACATTGGATTCCTCGGATACCCATTAGCAATGTTCCCATTGCATAAAGTCTTGGTCTTGTCTTCTTGATGACATAAATATCCATATTCAGAAAAATAATTTTTGTTTTGGTGTGACGTTTTCTGTTTTGTAAGTATACATTTGTGTAATCGATCATGTCAATAAACTTCACACCAAAATTAGAAAGTCAGAACGGTATGACCGTATGATCTAAATCTAATGAAGAAGAAAAATAATATGCAGTTTTATAATTTTCTGTAATATATGAACTGATGTGGTAACTTACAGTGAAATTTAGGGGCAACTTAGAAGGTGACATATCACACTGTAATATTTTAATTTGCCGGTTTTTTTTTTGCTAACGTGGAAGAGTTACAAAAAAAACTCTTTCTTCTTTTCATTTACATACTTTCTATCTTTTTTTTTTTTTAATCTTCATATCCATTAATAAATTTTAACAAATTCTATGTACTTGTAATAACTTATATGTTATGTTTTAAAAATAACCATAATAGTTAAAAATGAAATTAAAATACCACAAAAATTAGAAGCGGATATGTGAAAATCAAATATGAAGGTGCTTATAATTATAAGTCTAAATTTTTTTATTGAACTTTTGTTTTTTGATTAGTTTCAGAAATCTAAAAAAACTGTGGCATTTCTAAAAATAAATAAAAACAAAATGATATATAGTTTTCAATATTCACATTTTTGTTTGTTATTCCTTTTATTTACTTATCTTTTACTTATAATTTGCTCAACTTTTTCTTAAATCATGGTAGAAAGACACGTCAAATTTTCTGTTTCGAAAATATCTATAGATCATCACATTTTTAGATCTATTATTTTCTTCTACCCACGCGTGGAAATTTCTTTCATGCGATCTTTCGTTTTTAAATTTTGTGTTTGATACAAACGATAATTAAAACTCTTTTTTCTCTCTTGTTGTAGCCACGGGTATATATATATATATAGGGGAAAATCTCTCCAAACACACAGATATGAATCTGCCTGAAACAGAGATAGATCTGTTCCCTTTGCTGAACCAAAAACCCGCATGACAAAGAGTCAAAGAGTATGCAAAAAAGATGACGTAATATCTGCATAAACAGATGAAAGGGAAATTGGTTCATACTCTTTCTTTT